TTTAAATGTTTTGGAAATCTTACTCTTCTTCCAGAATGTGTTGTTTTAAGTTTATTTTCTGATACTATTGAAGTATCATCGGGTGTGTTGCCTGTCGGTTGAGGTATTACAAGCGTAGGAGTCATGTTGTGCGATTGTACCGAAGGGAAATCGAAGTGAATAGAATTTCCTTCTAAATACGCTGCTTTTGAGCGATCGATGCTGATGCTATCGTTTGTTCCATTCTTATCGACTACATAATACTTAAATTCACGTTGAAGAACTTTGAAAGGTCCTTCGTATGCTGATTCCAATGGTCGTCGATGTGAGTCTCGACGAACGAAAACTTGTGTACTATATCGTAAGTCAGGTTGAACAAAAACATCGGTTGATTGTGGTCGAGTGGAAGCAGGTTTAACTGAACGCATTGCGTTCGTAAGCCTGTTCGTGTAGGAGGTTAGATCTATGTTCATTGAAGAGGATGAAGGATCCACGAATTCTTCTGGAAGTCAAAGTGTCGTTCCATAAACCAGTTAAGCTGCAGTGTATTCAATGTCAGCTTTCACTGCATTACGAATACCTAGTAAGACAAGTGTAAGAGCGTCGGTCCACTGTGAAACGTTCGCAGCTGATAGTGAAGCATTTAGTTCTCGGTGAAAGCGCTCTACCAACCCGTTAGATTGTGGGTGGTGGGCAGTCGTTCGGAAGCGAGTGATTCCTAAATGTGTGGTCAGACGACGGAAAAGTTCAGATTCATACTGACGTCCACGGTCTGTAGTGATGGTTGAAGGGCAGCCGAACGTTTTCTTCCCATCGATCGACGAAGGTGCGGGCCACTGTTTCAGCAGTGATGTCCTTGATAGGTACTGCTTCTGGCCATCGAGTGAAACGGTCTACGCAGGTTAAGAGGTAAGAGTATCCATTTGAATCTGATAACGGTCTTACCAAATCCAGACGAACATGGTCGAAACGAGCATCGTGAGTTTTAAATGAGCCTAATGGAGATCTATTGTGTCTGATAACCTTAGATTTTCGGCAGCTTAAACAGGAGCGTGCCCACTCCCTAACGTCTTTATTCATGCCAGGCAAGCAAAACCGTTCTTCTATAAGCTTCATGGTTGCACGAACACCTGGATGAGAAAGTTTGTGCATTGTGTTGTAGACATAACGTCGATAATGTTTCGGCACGATTGGGCGATCCCTACCAGAAGATGTGTGACAAAGTAAGGTTTCCTTACCTGTTCCCATCTGTTTGATGAGTAGTTTGAGGGTTATAGACGATAACTCATGCTGAAGATCAGTGTCTTCTTTTTGAACCTTAGCGAGTTTAAGAAAGTCGATTCCTTGCAAACTGTTCAAGGAAGTTACGTGAGACAACGCGTCTGCGACTACATTGTTTGCTCCAGAGATGTGTTGGATGTCTGAAGTAAACTGCGAAATGTAGTCCAGTTGTCGAGACTCACGAGGTGAGTAATTGTCTGAAGAAGAGCTTAAAGAGAAGGAAAGCGGTTTATGGTCAGTGAAAAGAGTGAATTCACGACCTTCGATGTAGTGTTGAAAATGTCGCACAGCACAATACATAGCTAGGAGTTCCCTACCGAATGTCCTGTACCTCGATTCGGTGTCTAGCAACCGTTTAGAGAAAAATGCTAATGGTTGCCAGGAGTGGTTAACCCATTGTTGTAAGACTCCTCCGATTGCTGAGTCGGATGCGTCTACTGCGATACTAATAGGTGCTCGGGTGTCCTGATGTACAAGCATTGTTGCTTTTGCAATATGTTCCTTAATTGTGGAGAATGCTTTTCGTGCTGTGTCGTCCAAATTAATGGATTTCACATTTCCACGAAGTTGATCGGTTAGAGGTTTCATGAGTAGAGCGCATTTAGGTACGAATCGTCTATAGAAACTTACAAGGCCGTTAAACGTTCGTAGTTGCTTGATCGTGGTCGGTTCTGGGTAATCCAGAATAGCTGTCACCTTGGTTCTAAGGGGTCCAATTCCTTGAGCATGGATACTGTGTCCTAGGAAGTTTAATGAGTCGGTTCCGATTTGGCATTTCTGAGTGTCTACATTAATGCCCTGTTTTTGTAGTCGATCCTAAACAAGATCCAGATGCTGGAGATGCGATTTTCTGTCCGGACTTGTTATTAAATAGTCGTCAACATACGCATGTACGAAGTTGAGACCTCGAAAGATATCATCTATGAACCTTTGGAAGGTTTGTGCAGCGTTTCTTAGACCGAAAGGCATTCGCAAAAATTCGTTGAGTCCAAAGGAAGTTATGATAGCTATTTTCGGAATGTCGTCAGTGGCCATGGGAATTTGGTTATACGCTTTAACCAAGTCGATTTTCGAAAAGACAGTTGTATCTTTCAAGGTAGCTGTCAAATCGTGAATGTGAGGCAACGGGTGACGATCGAGAATGGTTTTCGCATTCAATCGCCAATAGTCACCATTTGGACGCCAATCGTTGCTGTCCCTTTTAGGGACCACGTGCAACATGTGGGCCCATGGGGTGTTTTACAGACTTACGATACCTAAGTCTATCATGTGGTTGAACTCGTTTTCCGCCAACCTTAGCTTTTCGGGGGCTAGTCATCGTGCCTTAGAGAATACAGGTGATCCTGTAGTCGTGATGTGATGTGTAACGTTTCTGGTTACACACGGTAGCTTCAGTTGCGTTTGTTATATCCCAGGAACCTTATCGAGTGGTGGCTGGTAGAAAAGGTCTATCGTTTGCTTAATTATGACTGGAGATAATCTGCAACTAGAAAAAGAAGTTACGCAAACGGATAGATTAGTGTTTCCGTCTATTAGCTTCCGTTTGCGCGTATTGGTGAGTAGATTATGGTGTTGTAGAAGGTCTGTACCGATGATTGGCATAGAAACATCTGCAACAACGAAGATCCAGTGAATGGGTTTGCGTAAACAAACGTTAAGGTAAACGTACATTTTGCCATATGATTTCTGTTTGCCGCCTGTAAGTTTAAAGCCGATTTGTGAAGTCGGTTGTTGGAATTCGCTGGTAGAACGCTAACTTCTGCGCCAGTGTCGACGAGGTAGCGAACTCTCGTTGTCACATCTGTGACGTATAACAGACGGCTAGGTTCGCCGGCTACGGTTGTCGTTAACGCGTGCCGGCTTGGAAGTTTCCCGAGTTGTTTTTCTTGTCGGTCGGTTTTGAATTGGGAGAATTTCAGGGTTTTCTGCAATTTCTGGAAGACTTTCCATACTGGTTATGATACCAGCACCAGTCGGGGTTATGCGTATCTCGTGGTTTAGAGACAGATCGCTTACGTGAAGTGCTTCTTCGAGGGGGGTGTGATCGCTTACGGTAGTTACGAGACTTAAGATAACGTGTAAGTGTATGACATAACTCTGTCATGTCATTCTGGGTTGTTTGAGCGTTTTCTTTGACAAGCATGGCTTGCACCTGTTGAGGAAGTTTGGATAAGAAAAGTTGTTTATATAGACCATCATCGAAGATTCTTTGGCCGACAACCTCTCTCATTCATTGTAACATGTCCGTCGCAGAACCGTGTTGCAGTTCGATGTTATTGAGGAGTTGGTCTAACCTTTGTCGATCGGTTAGGTCTCCGCGTTTAGGAATAGAACGTTTCATTGTTTCTTAATGTTCAGAAACATCACTAGTAAGCATACTAGGTGTTACGTACCTGCTGAATTCGCGCGGTGGTGCCTTGACTACTGCGAGGAATTGTACACACGTGTGGATCACACCGTGATCCAAGAAATCGGCTTCTGCGTAGCAAAAGCAGGCTTCGATTTTGTCTGGCCAGAAGGGCATTAGTTGGAACGAAGGTGTAGATATAGTTTTAAGCTTAAGTACTTTGGGTGTCTGTTCAGTCATAGTGAAATATGAAGTACGAGAATGAACGAGGGAAAATATAAATATATCCAAAAAGCACGAAAAAATATCAAAATTTATAAGAAATTAAGATGAGGCAATGATATATAGAATTCCAAAAAGAAACAGACTCACAGTTTGCGATTTGGTGTACCAGATAACGCCGGGCTCACCAATGAAGATGCCACAGGAATCCAGAGTTTGACAACACTTTAATCAGTTACACCTATTATGAAGCGTACCCACCATGTGAAATCAAAAGACAGAAGCGAAGAGGTTCGAAGATATATTTAATAGGCTATCAATATATCGAGAATCGTCTGATCTAATCTGGCTAGCGATTGCAGTAGATGTTGAGCACGGCGTTCCCACTCGTGATCTAGTGCAGATGCATGACCGAGCGCCTTCATCTAGGTGAGTCCATTAAAACATGTGGTCATCATCAAATGTGGAAAACTTACAGAGCTATTTATTTTGGGGACTTATTTACCGCTACTATTCTGTTCCGCCGTGGTAAATACAAAGTAAAGCAAGGAACGAGAAAAAATATCCGAAAATATTAAAACGATGTCACAGTATGCGAAATAAAAAGTGAATAAATGGTATGTAATTCTTCAACAAGGAACAGACTTAGTCTACGGATTTGTGCGCCAGATCACATCATGCTCACCACTGAAGATACCACAAGTATTCGGAGGTGGTGGAGATTTGTAGCTCAAGTGGGTGATTTGGATAGAGTTTTGTTCTTCAGGTAGAATTTTGCTCTGATGACGTCGTTCAGAAGAACGATGAAGGCTCCACGACAAAACCATCCAACTCAGAGAACAAAACTTCATCAAGTATTCGGAGTTTGACAACCATGTTAGCGTAACGTTTTCATAGTCGGAATATGCCAACCCAGTCAAATCAGAAGCCAGAATTGAAGGAACTCAAAACTGCATTTGAAAGGCCATGGATATATTGAGAAGCGTTTAATCAAGCTGGCTAATGGTTGTAAGAGTTGCGTAGCATGAAGAGGTATACTTGTATGTGCTTTGTTCAGAAGCAGTTTAAATGTGAATTTTAAATTGCCTACAGTTAAGTAACTCTGAATTTCCATATGTTTGCAAATAACCATATTTTTCTAAAATGTCTTCCACTTTTGTTTGACTCAATCACTGCTTGATGCTTTCATATTCTCGATCGTCTTTGTGATCAGCTGATAAGCTCATAAGGTTTTCTTCCGTCGAAGGGCCTTCACTTTACGAAATAGGTCAGTTTCAGAACTAAATGGATTTCAAAGCTTATCAAAGGGTGATCCGTGTAAATATAGTTAGAGACTTGGACATTTTAAGTTCCTTTGGTACTAGTTTGTAACTCATAGTGACTTCCGTCAGTTATTGATTCGATCTAATCCGTGTTAATATCTCATTAAAACGGAAACGCTACGCTTCCATGTTTTACACAGTAATACTAAATATACCATATAACTTTATTTGTAGGAGCTCTCCTATTCACTTGCTGTAGTGCTGAAGCGTAATACAATCTGATTCGTTGTTGGTCATTTCACTCTTATCAAAGCTTTGTAAAAAAAAACTCGGTTTCACCTCTCAGAACTCTCACGCGGCCTCACTTAACAAGCCTAATAACTTTTCTAACCTTTGTTTCCCATCTGGTTCTAGCTTAGGTGAGTAGTGTTTTGATACTTTACTGAAGATTAGTCATATCACAATAAGTTGACCTTTCACGTGCTAACTTGAGGTTAGTTTGGAAGAAAAAAAAATGCAAAAACAGCGCTAATTTTCAGTTTCTAAGGCTTTTGAGGCTCATATTGTCTCCATGGTCAACAATATGTATTCATTAACATTGTGGAATGTCTTGTGTATTCATGGCTACAATACCGGTCGTTAGCATCCTTTCGTCGCCTCAAGGATGATTCCATGTACTCAGTACATGCTTATCACAATCATTATACGGGTAGAAAGTTTCGTGCTTGTATTACTTACATCGGCCACCAAAAACCCTTTTTTAGTGATCTATATCAATAATGGAATCTGTTCTCAATCTCTTAATTTACTTCAGTATTAGGACTGGAACTATCCTCATACTTGACGCAGTTCACTCCTGTACAACAGCACTAAAAATAAGAATAACATAATTTTCTAATACAGACAGTTTTCAGTTGGAAATGAGTAATTTAAAAGTGATGCTGCAACATGATCTCCATCCGTCTGAACAGTCTATATCAGTTCTAAGTGACTTTTACTTGCTAAAATGTTTACTATAATATGACTAGCTCTACATCTGTGTAAGTTATGCCAATGTAATTGTGTATACTTTACGATTTGTAAAGTTTAAAAACTGGATGACTTGAAATATGCGGTTGATATAAGAAGTATGAGGATCATGATGTTAGGTAGTGACTTCAACAACCTTGTTATTATGTAAACAAACTTATTTTTGTGTGTCACCCCGACCGTTTATGAGTAAAAGTGACCATTAAAAAGTCGTTTTTGCCACTGTAATTAGTGATCCAGCATTTCGATTAAGCTGTGTATCACAACTAAAGGAATTTATCGACATATCGATGGTTTTACTGAGGAAAATTACATGTGATATTATTATAGAAAACATTTGTAGTTCGATAAAACGCCAAAATAACTTCAAGTTAGGTATTTGAAACAAGTCCCTTCTATAAATTTAAATGATATGATAAGCCGAGTTCAGTGCAAGAAATAGGAACGATTGCTATATTTTCTCTCAAAAGCATTATTATTTTGACCTGTATAGTGTCCTTTGTAAGAGAAGTGAGTCAATCAGCTACAATGTAGGACCAGGCACATATATGCATCGGGCCAAGTTGCCAAACCGCATTAGCACAGCAAAATAAACACCAGATTCATAGGAGTAGTTAACTCAATGTTGGCAATATATAGGAGAAAGATTGCATATAAGGATATAGTATAGGAAGAAAGAATTAGTTTGTAGAAAGAAAGATATGAAGCGATTTTAATCTCTTAGTTTAAGGGAAGACAGAGAGTTCATACACCGACGCCATTGTGATCGATTCTGAGCCATGTCTCCAACCATTGGTTACGATAGTCACGTGGACCCCAACCAAGTAGTCTGTATCTACCAACATGGATCAGACCAGAAGTTAGTGACTTTAAGCACTGATGCCACGTTTTGGTTTGGTCACCCCTAACTTTCTTCCAATCATCCCCAACACCGGTTAGCATTGTACATCGTAGTAAACGGTGTTCAGGCATATTCAACACGTGGCCCAACCATCTCAGTCGATGAAGATTCACAACCTCACCAACTGATTTACCATCATTCCCTAGTAGCCTGTGTTTAATCTTATTATTACTTGGCCGGTGATCCCAGCAGATGCCAGCAATATTTCTAAGATATCTTTGGTCAAATACTAGTAGTTTACGAGTAACTTCAACTCTTAATGGCCATGTTTAGCAGCCATAAAGTAAAACAGAACAAACTGCCGCGCAGTATACTCGTCCTTTTATCGATAGACGGATATCTCACCTCCGCCATAGGTGACGTAAGTTGGCAAAAGCCAAATGAGCTTTTCGAACCCGTGCCGAGATTTCGTCAGACACCAAGTGAAAATAGCGTTGTATGGTTAGATATTTCGAGTACGGTGTAGTTTAGTTTCAGCGTCCAAAGTGAGATATCTTTATCTACGTATGCGACTGTGATGCTAAGGGGGCACATTTATTTTACTGATGTTACCTAAATCAAAGCGTGCCATGACCATTGTGCTGCTTTATATATATGTATATGATGTAGTCTTACTGGTCTTTTTTGTTATAGATTGAGAGTATCACACCTGGCATGAGCGGACCACAGTGTGTTCCTTATGGCTGGTAAACGAAGAAGATCACATAAGTCTTCTAAGGTTTTAGATTCTGAGTCTGCAAACAAACGGTAAGGAACTTTTTAAAGTATAATCCTAGTGAATCATTTTAGGTTTATTGGTAACACTACATCGCACAACAGTTCTGTAAGTATTTGAATTTGTACACTTCCGATCTTCATTTTATTAATAATCTAAAATTATTGCTCTTCTGTGTCTTACGTAGGTGTATATTACCTCGTATCAGGGATAAAATAGTATCAAGCTGTATGCCCTATTAAGTTTGCAGAATAATTTTTTAATAACTCCGAATTTATGTAAAAACAATCAATAGATTTGTAACAGGTACCTAGCGACGTATTATGTAAACTTGGTTTCATACACTACACTACACATGAAAATATTATGAAGGAAGAGTAGGGAAACAGTAATATAAAGTAGAAGCAATACGAATATGATTTACTGGAAATATATAATTTAAATAAGAAAACACTTTTCATAGTGAAATGATTGAACTGTTTGTAATTCTTTGTAACGAGATTATTTTAAGTGAAGTCACCATCTTTGGAAATTACTGATAAAAACCCATCAAGATCTCTGTTTTGTAGTAATCTCAAGTCTCACTTGAATTTCCAATCTTATAAACTTTAGGGATTGAGTGCCATAATGTTTACTAAGCTTTGCTGTAGCTTAAGTAGGCAAACGGTTAATGTACATGTTTTGCTACGATAGCTAATAGTTTGAAATCAGAATTTACGTGTTAACGGATATGACAGAAGAATTATATCAGCTCATGGTTGAGACTCGTCACAACAGTGATAATTTTTTATTTTGATGTTAGTTAATAGTTGAGAGTCTCTTGGTGGCAGTATGATCTAATAGCCTACTCATAAGTTTCTGAGTATTTCAGTTAAATATTACTTGCTAAAGTGAGATATCATTTGTTATATAATGGTTGAAGATGGTTCTCGCAAAGTGGTCATTTTATTGTACATTCTGACATGTGAGAAAATTTCATTTTCTTTTCCTTATGAAGTATTCCATTCTGTACCTATGCACCTTGTCAATGATGTCCTAGCTGATGATGATATTTTTACTTGTAAGCTGCCTTTCTGAGATTTTAAGGTATGACGACTGATTAGGACACATTTATCGGGGTTTCACGTCGTCGCGTTTGCGTGTTTTCTTTCTAATTAATCACTATTATTTTATTGATATTATGTTATAACTTGGCACCTTTGTAGATTACTTTCTAGACTATACAAATAATAAACGTTTGCAAAGCAATTTCTTCAGTATATGCCTATGGTACTAAACTTAGTTGAATTTGGAGAAATAGCCCATCGCTATTAAAAACCTCAAAGTTGTACTGGTGTACATATTTCAACATCAGTTACTAGTTTTTAACACTGCGAGCTCCTTACTGAGCTTCATTGTATCCAAATCTTATGATGTGAATTTTGATTGAATCTGTTCTAAAATATCTGAAAAAGTCACGTATAATTTTTAAGTTTGGTTTGAGACAATTTAAGTATCTCGAGTTGAGAATCGAGATTATTCACATGTGTATTTAGCACACCTGGTCAGTATACTGTTTTCTGAACTATTTTACTATTTAATTTCAGTGCTCCGAAAATTCAGGTATTTCAACCTGCTATCTTCATAGTCAGAACCATCCAGTCTTACGTGCTTCTGAGCTATCTGAAGACAGCAGTACAGCTCCATCCAAAGTGACTGAGACACAAGACTCAGTTTCCTACACATCACCCATTTCCGAAATAAACCGAGCCAAGTATAATTTTGTACAAAATAGACACACTACAAGTAGATTGAGAAGATTATCGGAAGCCTCTTCGCCCACTTGTACTCTCCAAGAAAGTTCGATCTCTGAACAGACAAAGAATTCAGCAAATAGTACGACTCAGTTGAGTTGTCAGTCAAGCACCCAGATCGGACGCAGAACTACTAAAAGGAGTTTGCATTATTCTGAAGATATACCATCTTTTTCCCAAGATAAATTAAGAGCTGCTAAACGCCAGCGTCTTTCTAGTTCAAAAGCTCGGTAAGTAAGAGAATATTTGTGCTTCACTAGTTTTAGGCTGCATAATTCAGAACAAATCCTTTTTCAATACTCTGTACCTGTTTTTCCACAAATGCTTAAGTGCTTAGATCATTTCAGGTCATTTTGCTCATTAAAGTTCTCTTATATTTTGGAAACCCCAGGTGGAATATTATAAATCTATACTGAACAGTGAAATTCATCGATCCACTTTACCCACTATTTTTAACCGTTAATAATGATTATTGTACAGATCCCGACCAATAAGTCTGCACTCCTCCACATAGGTCAGATTCCATAGAATGATAGTGCATTTCTAACTAAATGATACGTAAAACTTTCGAAAAGGTTTGCTTATTAAAGTCCCTAGTTAGAAGTACAGCGTTTACATGCAGCTACTGACAAATATGATATAAGGAAACCCTGGTTTCAGTCCTGATTTCCAGCTGATTTGTTTGCTCTTTCATAAATACCTAGCTTCATTCTTAACAGATCAGAAAGTGTATTGATAGTATTTAGCTATCTATTTTTTGTTTACGGTTTTGTATGGAGCAATGAGCTAGTGGTTAAGGCGTTTTAATATCGGTCACTAAGTCCCACCTCACCCCGCCTACTTCATTTTGTTTCGGTGGGTAGTGTCATTAGTCCTCACATTTAAAATGTAGCTCATACTCAACTACCTGAAAAAAGAGTGAATCATATTATATTAATGTTCTAGGCGTGTGTTTTCTGACGCACACTTTAATTAAATCTTTTCTTAATAGTAACAATGGTACTTGATGAGATTAATATCACGTGATTGTCTAACTTATTTGCAGTAATATTTTTTCAAAATGTTTAAAATATTTTGCCGTTAGATTAATAGCTTTTATCAAGCGGAAATCGATCTGATTACTTAACTTGATTTCTCATATTTAAAGTTTTGTATGACCATTCATTCATCTGGTGGCTATATTCTTTTATCATTTACTGAATACTAAGATTAGTTCAAAATACAATGATATGTTTTTATAGTCTACTTTGATGAAACATCTTTCCACTGATTTTTTGTTAATCAACTTATTGTGTTTTTTTGCACACTTCTCGTTTTCATTAAGTATATCTTTGTTTTGGTGATAGAAACGCTGCCGACTGTCTATCTGTTAGCCTGTTTGTTTTACTTCTGTGTATTTTTTATGGCTGTTAGGCAATTAGGAACCTACCATAGTAGTTCCTCATATTCAAAGTCATCTGATCGGAAACGGCACTCAATCGCTTCCCCAGGAACTGCTCATATATCTCAAAATTTACCGCATACCGCCACGGGTCTATTTATGAGCAAAAGATCGTAAGTTTGTTGCTGCTGTTTTGTTTTTTCCTAACATGCTTTCATGAACTCTTTTATAGAACATAGTCGTTTTCCAAAAAGGCACATCAGGAATTGTATCATTAACTTTACCTTGTCTAATTTTTGCAAGTTTCTAAATACCCTTATGTATTTTTTCCATTATGATTAATGGAATTTCCATAAAAGTACGTAATTAATCGGAATATTTTGGTGATTTTCACGACCTGTTTGAAACTATTCCGTTTAGATTATCTAGTGTAACTGACGAACGTTTTGTTAAACGTTCAATACATAATTGATTTGTAGCCTTAACGCGTTCTTTCACCAATAGCTTGGGTCATTTCGAACTATATTCACTTTATCTGTTTCGAACGTATATTATGTGTGGGTTTATTTGGTTAAGAAAGTTAACTTAATAATACGGTCTCATTTCTAAAGTTAATCATAATTTCTTATGGCAAAATCATTATTTCTCTTTAGCAAAGTATAAATCATGTAATATTAATGGACCAAATCCACTAAGCGATGTCGATAGCTTTGGATAAGTTTGATTTACAAAATCTTCCCACGTTACAAAAGTTCAGTATTTCAGTTCATTTTTACAATAAGTGCTAATTGATTCTCGTTATTTTTAAGATTTAATTTCTTTGATTTTTGACCGGGAAAGTAGTCACATTTTGTAATTTGCATACGTATAGAATAAATACATACATTTACTGAATATTTCTGCACTCAACAGGCTCTTAGTGAGCCTGGATGATAAATAAAGCCTTGGAATAACTGTTTTGGAGATTTTTCTCATTACGGACTTAGAATTAGTTAGGAAACTTAAAAACTATAAAACAATCTGTGATAACTCCCTCACTCTAGCTTGAGACTCCTGACTTATGGGCACTAATGTCCTCCTCTCATTCTTTTGTGAGAACTACCCACCGCTACTGACGATTAACCGTCTCACTCCTGATTCGGTTAAACTTCACCAGTCACAACTTACAAAAAGATTTTTTAGGGCTGAATAATGGAGTTCAATGCCTGATTTTCATAACAATAAAATATTTCATCTCGATTACTTGTTCTTTGTTCTCGTGTTTGTAGTAAAATATAAATTATTTTTAAAGTGTCTTTGGGGGAAAACTGACTAGTTCAAATATAAAATCTTATTCACTTATGATGTTATAATGCGAACAGTTTATTTAAACTTGAAAACTACGACGTGTTTGTTGTAGGTTTTTAGCACTCATGGAAACTGATTGTTTATCTAATGTCATGCGTTACACATATAATGTGTAGTCATTTAAAACTTCTTGTCTTTCGGCTTTTTGGAAACAGTATTTGACATTTAATATAACCAAAAGGATAGAAAATATTTTTCTGAAAAGTCTACTAAATTCTAATTAACGTTTTGTAGTGTGGGTTTTTCGGGAACATCACCATGATATAATCCATTTCATACAGTAAATTAACTCTTCTCTCGCATTTTACGTATTTACGTTGTCGAATTTTTCTTAGTAAATCTAGTTAAAATAGAGTTAAACAGCTGAAACATGTCTCATTGGTTCAAGTCGTTAATCAATAAACCCAACTAATGAGGTGATTGGTTTTTGTCATGTATAATTTATAGCGAAAAACCTTGTCTGTCCTCTCACATTCAATATAAACCAGTCAAGTTCTTTGTCCTCATAGCGACGCAATTTATTCATGTGACTATACGTTTGTTAGTATTACAAATAAATAAATGTTATTAATTAATTTATTTGTGAATTAATACCAGTACAATAGTTTTAAATAATGTGTTGATGAATTGAGCCTAACGCCACGATAACGCTTTTGAATTTCTGGAAATTAAAAATTTCACATTTGTAAGGTTAATCCAAAATTTATATCTTCATGAAAAAAAGTAATGTATTCAGATATTTGTAGCGATCCCGAACTCAATACAAACCTTCATAAGGTTATTAGAAAGGTAAATCTTTTTATATAATGACAGCATATGTTAATCCACTGATCAGCACCTCTTAGCTTCTATACTTAGAATTTTTTAGCATCACTAAATTGTAATTTGATGTAGTTAGTAAAATCATTTAATAATCGATCACTACGGTATTTTACTAGTATATGGCAAAACAAGAGAATAACATGGATTACCATATTATCTTTGAGTTGAAACTACATAGAAGTGTTTATCTAGGAAAAGATGTTTCTTTTTGTATATTAGTTGTTGATTCATTCTACATCTTTACATAATGGTATTTTTTGCAGGATCTCTGAAATTCGTTTGTTGTATTTTTATATATAAAGCAAATGATTTAAAATCCATATATTTCTAATGAAGGTGAAATAAAAATAGATATTTGAGTTAACAACGTAAATCTGTTGGTAGCTTTTAGTTGTAGTTTTTAAATTAAGAAACATCCTGTTGCATAAGCTTGGATAGATTAGCAAGAAAAATAAATAGAAAAGTACGCATTGTAATGTTTATGATCTCACCAGTTAATTTTCTTGTTCTCCTAATCAATCAGTTAAGTAGGTATCTAGCGTTTTTATGTGTCCCTAATTTTTGTTATATGATTCTTATTATTATACGATCGTTTTAATAACGTTTGGGATGTGAAAATTACTGTAACTTAGTCACTACGCTTAGGGCGTAGCCATAGCCTTAATCTTTGTGACTCATTGTGTTTTTTATTCGTTCCCTTCCCTTTTCTTTCTCATTTCAATTTATTTATAAATAAATCTGACGATGAATGTTTTATACTAATTTGTGCTCTTGTGTACAATCATTTTTTGATATAATATTCTGTTTAGTCCTACATACTTTGTCATCATGTTAATATACATAAATTCACTTGTTAATCATACTAATGATCGTCTAATATTTTGTGGACTTACGATTTTATGACCAATCACCCTTAAATTTTTCTACCAGTTGCATGATTGAAAAACACTTTTTTGTATCATCTAGACGTCGCGATCGTCAGCGGTCTGTGACTTCTATGACGGTGACAAGTTCATCTACCATAAAAAACACGAACACTGGAGACAATGTGTTCAGTACAAGCACCTCAAATTATCCCATACATTCAAGTCTTTCAGCTGCCCATTGCACCGGAGAAAAGACTTTGCATTCTCAAATACCCTATGTTCAGTTGCCTGCTGATTCCTGTCCTCCACACTGCTCTCAAGGCGTTATGATTTCTAACGATGTGATTGTCTCGGAACATGTTGGAACTATGGGATTTCCCAGTACTGATCTACATCAATCTGTCAATCCTGAGTCAAATGCTCCTTTTTATGTTGTTCAGAAAAGTGCTTGTGCGCCCAACGAAACTCAAGATCCTAATCCTCGATCACTTAATCAACATTATTATATAGTTCCTGATCTTTCTCGCCCAACAGAAAGTAATAAAACTTCATCTTCTGAGTTCAAAAGTTCCTGTATTTATTCCAATACTATCCAGCTACGTAGCTCAAAGGATGTAACAGTTACGAAACAAGAAAGTAATAGGAATTTTAGTCATATTCCAATTGACCTGACAACTAATACACTGCATAACCAAATACCTATGCCAGTGGATTCGTCCTCCCAACCGATTCAGTTAGGATTGCCAGTTTGGTCATCTGTAGACCAGCTAGAGTCTCAGACAGCTTTCACAACATCATCCAGCAGTGTAATGATGGCGTCATCATTGCAAAACTCATCAAACTACCGCAAAAGTGAGTCAATGTTAACTATACTTAAATTAATTTTGTCAGGAAGTAGATTCTGTTATTGAGTAAGAATCTTGATTTATGTTAAATGAATTATTGTTTTATATTACGAAAGGTAAAAATTAGGTTTAAATAAACTGAATATGGGTTGATGAATAAAGCTTTACAATTTATCAGTAATCTCGCTTAGTGTAGTACTGTTTCCCATGGTCGACGAAATTGTTTTCTAAAAGCATCTTTTTTTCAGTAACCAAATTCAACCAATTAGTGTGTTTAAAAGAAAGAAGTAATTTTAGTAACATAGTGGTTAGGTACTACCAATTCAATCCGAAATAAACATGAATTTGTTTATCATATAAAATATACGACCTACTACACGAAATTAGTAATTATTCCTATACATATGGACTCAATATACTCTAGATGACAGTATCTACAGTCATTTTGTCGGGCCGTACTAAACTAAAAACGAATCATTACTGTTTAACGCCATGTCACTGTATGCGATATTTTTGTGTACACTTATCAGTTTCCTTCTTTGTACCAATAATATATAACCTCAGATTGCATAATTAGCTTACTATCTGGATTATCCCCATTATATTATGCGGCCGCGGTGACTGATTTATTACTCTCCTTTGTGACGACTCAGAGTAAGTAATGATTACAGTTAATTTTTGCTGATACCTTTCCCGTGGACACTTTCCAATATCGGCTTCAGGGGTACAGACGATTGCTTGATTGAACCTTTCGCGATAAGTTTTGTTCTTAGTCTCGATACTTAAAGGTGGTGAATGTTTCTGAGCGGCATTTTTATACTTTGTTCCTGTGTGGTTTGGTAATGTGCTTCTTTCGGGATTATCACTATCGTCATATTCTTTATTTGCGTTATGCTTCTGGAAAGTTGTTTTTCGTTATCGGAAACTGATTGGACATATGCTGATTCAAAACTACAACATCAAAGCGATCGCTTCACCAGTATACACTTTTTGATTAGTTCTAACTACTAAAAGCACTTACTGCATGTTCGTAGTCATAATTTTCACGTACATCACTATTTAATTTGTTAGTTCCGAGCCTAATAACCATTGTTACTTTTGTAACATTTTAATTTTACATTGGCGTCATTATTAAATATCACTTATAAATATATAGAACATCGGACTTAGCACAAGTATTCATCAATCGTATTTCAGTCCAATGCATTCAAGAAAAGTAATTCCGACAATGATAACAAATTTAAAGAAAATTGATAAAATAGTACTATGAAAAGTATGAGATAGTACAATGTTTGGAAATTAGTCGAGAATTAGAGATCAGTGTACGCGCAGTACAACGTACGCTTTTAATCAATATAAACTAAAGTCTCTAGTCATTAAGTTACTGTTAATCTTTGAATATTAACGCAGGATGTCTTCATTTCTTATATGATACAAAATAACAATCAATAACTGTATGAAATAATATCGTTTCTTAGTCATCATGTGTTTTAAATTATTTACTAAGTACATGCAAATGTAAACAATTTAGATCCAGATTTCATGGCCAACCTATACTTACTAGCGTTTAAGCAAACACTAATGGACATGAATCGCATATGTTGTTCATAAACCCGCGTACCGCATCTGTGCATTATTTTGGTTTAGTAAGACATGAATGATAAATTAGAAACATTTATGGCCGAATACTTACAGCTTACAAGTTTCTTACTTTCATAGCTCATAATTTGCACCAGCAACTGATAAAGTCGCGGAGTTTTTACTCCGACTCAGTAAAAATATTAGTTTTATAGGAGTGGCATCAGAATGACTTTTATTTATCTATACACCATAGTATTCAATATACCTTGAAACAAGATTTCCATGCAACTGTTCTAAGTGCGAAGTACACTTTATCAAATAGTTTTTATCCAGATGTTTTTGAAAGTAAATTGTACTTCGTTTGCTCAGTTTATCCGACTTCAGTGTGTTGACAATTTTGCGAAATTCTGTTTTAAAGTGTTCATTGCCTAACTGTTCACAAAGATGTTCTAGTGTTTTCTTTTTAAAAGACTACTATCTTATGTTTAGTTTTAGTCTTTAGACAATCGATATCTGAATGTAGTGTCTAATATCTAGTCCAACCTTGTACCAAGTGTTTGATAGGTATTATGGAAATGTCATAAGCGTGAGATTAATTGTTTTCATTTAACTTTTTGGATGTAACTACGTATCGCATTTTGTCTCCAGTACTTATAACTTGATCATTACTAAGATTATGAACTGGTCTAAGTTATAGACATAAAGCACTGGACAACTGTTACGTCCTAATGTAGAGCTCCTCAGTAGTGTACATCCACAATTACACTGCGAAGGAGTCCAATACTATGACAAAACAGCTGTTCAGTGCTTCATAGTCTTCAACAGTCGTCTAGCTTGGATCGCTTCGCGATCTCGATAACATTCAACAATTCCTACAAACCCCACTAACTGTAAATCAACGTGCTTAATAATACGGCATAGTGCTTACACTTATCAGTTTACATTTTGATCCAGTTTACTGAGAAGTATTTCGAATAAAGTTGCTTGTAACTCAAATAGACACGTTATTTATCACTTATGCTATTTTATACTAAAAAATATGAACTTAACCCTTTAATTATAAGGTCACTCAAGCTGATTTCATAATTTCTTTTTTAAAAATGAAATTAACATATCGCGTTAGGTACATTTTTTCTAATTATCACTGTTTTTCTATGCGAGGTAGCTAAAGCGAAATTGATCAATGCGAAGTACAACACAACCATAACTGATGGGTTTTTGTTTTTCTGAGAATAGATTATTCAATTGTATCTAAGTGGTAGTTTAATTATTTTTTCTCACAAAGTATCTCTGGTTTTATGGATTTTTTGCGACGTTTATACCTTTCTCAGGAACTTTGGAACCATTTACTCCAGCTCAAAGTTTTTACCCTCCAACAAATGATTCTTCTACAACTTATCGTATCCAAACTGATCCCAAATATTCCACTGATTCAAACATAATCCCCATGTTACCGAACTCTTGTTCCCCATTTTTAGTTTCGCCTGGTACATCAGCAGCAGCAAACCATCCAAATGCTATACAGCAACTTTTAAATCCAATCAGTGTCGCTCGTTTAATTGCACTAAACCAAACAATGCATTCGAATACACACTACCAAAAATCTTCCCAGTCAGAACATCTACAGTCTGCACTGTCTACTACCTGTTTAACATCATCCTTCCATCCTACAGTATCCGGTTCCTCAGGAAAGTACTCTCGATATTCACCTCACACTACTCATTCTGGATCCGCTTCAACTTCAAAGTCTGTTGTTTATACGCGCAACCATTCTAACACATCAGAATGGTCTAATCCAAAAACGAGTGCTACTCATAGTGGATATCGCAGCCCACATAGTGATGGTATCAATCATCGAATAGCACAGCTACAACAAGCTTCAACTGATAGATCTATGCAGTTGATCATTTTGCAAGATATAAATCAGGTGAGTCATTGGTTGACTGTACAATGGTTATGCTTTTGTCAATAAATTCACTTCGTCAAACATTAAAGATTCAATATGAAAGACTATCTTTTAGCAAAACGTCTCCTTATTCTTTCATTATTTTGTTCATAATAGATAATACTACTGTTGTAACATTAAAAGATGTGTTTAATGCTTGCATTTATTCAACGGGCGAAGGGTTATACATAGGTATCGATCCAGTTTCCTTTGGTTTTTCGTTACTTTTCACTTTTACGATCCCATAATTAATTGCATGTGTAATTTTACCTTCCATCAAAGTTGCCTTGATAACCCTCTACCCATTCTTAAACTTCGAAACAAACTACCTACGAGAGCATACTTAGAAAAGACAAGTTATTTTGAAATTATTCGTCCCCTCAAAAACACCGTAGGAGGGATATTGAAACTAGTTTCGTCTCTGACTTAGTCGTTCAACATTCGACTATCAGAGTGAAAGGGGATTTACTTAATATGAATTTAATCTGTAAGCGTATGGCTTGTATTAGAGTTTAATTGTCTTGAATGTCTAACTTGTTACTGTATGTTGGTGCTTCTTCATCAAGTGTTACAGTTACAGTAAACTTTTTGCATTGTGGTGTTCTCACTTTCGTGTTATCCTATCACTACTTCACTGTATTCCATTAGACTGTTATCGTCCGTGTGTGTCAAAGTCTTGGTACAATGCTGTCTGTGTGTTTTTATTGAATGCACTGTAAACTTTATTCATACTCACTTTCAGCGTTAGAGCTTTCATATGTGTGTATCGGAGAATTAAACTTTACTTATTCTTCGTTTGTCTTCAGCTTCTAGACATGAAACCATTGATTGTTTGCCTTCGTGTTGTTAGGACCACTTTAACCAATCAAATTTCATCTTACAAAGACTATGTAGTTGTGCATCAAGTTTAGTTTTAGAAGCAGTGGTCAGATTCCCATACACAATTAATTATCATTTTATCTCAGATTTATTCTTTACTTTTCTTTTTGCCTTATTATTCTATTTGCTGGTTTCCTCTATTTATATCAATAATTTATTTTTATCAGAATGGGTTTTGTGGAGATTTTAGAAATTTCACAAGTTGAAGTCTAGCTTCAACTGACTCATGATTTCAACTTGTGAAATAATTTATTTACCTCACTATTTTTAAAACGAATCACGTCATATTATCGTACAGTGATTTTAATTAATGTATATAGTTTTATTTGGTAATTTATTCACACTTATTGCTAGTAATACTCATCAATCAGTTCACATTGTAGAAATTTATTGCTAAAATCCATATTGAAATATTCAAATATGAATTATGCAAATATAAAATATGCTTATTTCACTTGTTAATTAATTTGTTTTTATTTCTTTTATTCATTAGATTCTGTTAATGGATTTTGAAGAGAATTTAGCAAATCTAGATGTCAATAGTTTGGTTAATTGTGTTCTGCAAATTTTAGAATCACAAGAAGAACATTTAGTTGAATTGAAAAATTTAAGTTGTAATGTTTTAACGCATATGATGGATGTTTTACCACGTAGTTCAGATTTTATTGTTCCAGCTTTGCCTATTCTACTCACAACTATGTCTTCCAGTTTTGTTGGTGATATATTAGAGAGAATAATTAATTTATTAGAGCAAATATCACGTCGTCACGGAAAAGAAGTACTAAAATCTGGTGGTGTTTCTGTAAGTTCATGTTTTTCATAGTAATAATTACATTACGTAATTTATTACGTTATAGTGCATATAAATTACCATGAGCTTAAATTTAAAAGGAAAGAAAAAAGAATTAACCTGAAATGCACTAAATAGTTATTTTAGTTGAGAGAAAAAGCAACAATGAAAACATGATCATCTTTATGTGTATTATGAAGTTAGCTAGAGGATAATCATTGACTTTTTCTAATTACAGATCGAGTTTCAACTTCTCGTTTGCTTAAGGTCTGTAAAAATCTTAGCTTGCTGAAAACTAACTGTTTTAATTCATTTGTCTCGCATTCTGCATCTACTGGATGATTTTATTTCTAGGAATGTGTTCAGAATTTTCTGTGTATCCTCATATCTCTATTCGTTCACCATACTGGTTTTTATATATAAATGCAAATTAATAGATGGGATTAAAACTAACGTGTTCAATTTTGTATGTATATCACTTATAAATGGATTAATTTTGCTACAACAAGTATTCTATTTAATTCATCCTTGGATTTTTGGTTAATCTTGCTCGTAGTTTAACCATCCTTCAAAACTAGTTATCTGAATACCATTTTCTTCCATAGATTTTTCCAATTCAGTTAATGTACACTATCCGTGGTCATGTTTCCTTTTAAACCTTACAAAGCCATCATTCTTTTAAATATTGGTCTCCATCGTCATCTATTTTGTCCAAATCTATATCATGTATCCTATTAGTCTTGTGATTGAATGATTTCATCAAATAGCACTTACAGTTCATCAAATGAAAACTAAGTACTCCAGGGTATCATTTAAGTCATCTTTTGATAAATAAAACAACCTCAAAAATATTTTTATGTTATGTTCCCAGGAAGCACTTGGATTCATAGATGTGTCTTGCATTCCATCTTTGTGTTCAAAGTAAGTATTAAAACTCCATTTTATTACCAGTTACGTAAAGACTTTTAAATATCGTTAAATTTCATTTATAGTCAAGAAGATAGGAAGCTTCACAATGTTTACTACTTGGGACAACACATTTCTTACTACGTACGTATTACGTTCTACTTGACACTGTCTTTGTACTCTTACTCAATAGTAACGAACAGCTTTACTTAGTTTTTTTTTAAATATACCTATTTACTTTGAATATTTTACTCTCTTGTTTTTTAAATTTTCATGTAGACTGTACTCGGATTTTACGACTTTGTTACCTCAGCACAACATCGAACTATTTTGACAATGGTGTATAACTGTTTCATAAATCTACAACCAGCCGATTACGATTTAATCTCCAACTGTTTACCGACATTGGCTGAACATTTAAAAGAGTCAGAACCTCGTTGTGTTGAACGCGTTTGTAGTTGTTTTGTACGCTTGATTAGTGCTTATCGATTTGAGCCAAATTTACTTAAATGTATTGTTAATAGTTGTAACTTATTAACTAACCTTCAATCATTGGTACGTGTTTATGTTTTTCTGTGTGTTTCATTTTTTTAAATATTTGTAATTGTGTGTTTTTTATTTAAAAAAAACATACCATCCACTAGCTTTTGTAATCGACTTAAGCGTCTTGAAGTAAAGGTTCCTGACAAACGGCATCTAATCATGGTTAGTATATGGGGTTGATCCGTTTAGTTTTGAGTCATGATAAAATTATACTGGTCTTCTTTGATCGTGAATTAATACAATAAACAATGATAAACTCTCAGGCATTATGTAGTCTGTTAATCACTCATTGTATTATTTTATTATTTATTGTTATTCGCCGTCAAAAGCACAGATATCAACTGTGTACATCACCACTAATATATTATTTAATTCGTTCGTTATTCATTACTAAGCAGTAAATATACGATTGGAATCAAATTACGTTATTATTTCAATTTATCTGTTTTTTTATTTTAATTTCTTACAATATTGACTGGATCATAGTTTTTCTTTCAATTGACTTGTAATAATTTTCTAAAAATCACTTTGATGATAGCAACCGATGGTTAGAGACCCTGAATGATATGGCTCAAAATCGTTTGCAATGGCGCAGGTGCATCCATTCTTTGTGTTCTCCCAAATTCTAAATTCTTCATGTCCCTTTTTTCCTCTTTCCAAATTTATTTCACTGAATTATACTCTTTAAGTAACATCTCCAAACCCTAATCTTCCCGATCACTGCTTACACTCTTGCTACCTCTACCACAACGGGATATGAATCGACAACTGCATCTCTGTGTTAAGGTGGTGTGACAACTCGAACTGATGTACGTACGTACGAAGTTCTACGTTGTTACTGACTGACTGAAAAATCACTTTTATACCAATTGAATTTACTATTCATCATATTAATTGAGCGTATTTATTTAACTTTTTACTCCTAATACTATTGTTTCGTCCGTGTCTAGCTCACGTTAACTCCATCGATTTTGTCCAGTATCAATGATGTAATTCAAATATTAGCAACATTATGCTCAAGTTGTCCTGATTTAGCTGTTGATTTAATTAAACAAAGTAAGTTTATATGTATCCTTTAAAATTACACCATAATCTTGTCTTTACTATTCTGTTGAACAATTCATGTCAACTTCCCAATATATTAACTATTGATTAATATTTCTATTCAATTAAGTTTCTTATTTTGTATTGTTTTAGGGAGAATGCAGCATAGAATACGATTAACTCATTGTACTTTGTGTTGCAAACATTATCATTCTTGCTTCCTTTCCAATTTGTTGAAGGAAACTATAAATGACATGAGATAATATCTCATAAAATCTATGCATACATCTCTTGTACTCTCAATTAGTTATTAATGAAAATCCATTTAACAGATTATCGGATTGTAGTAGCATTGATTAATTTAACTAATTTACATAACATTAGATAATTAAGATTTGTCAAATATATCAGTATGTATATTTGTGTGAATTATCGAAAACATGAAATTCAATCGAATTACACAGACTGATTAACATATTGGCCAGCAAATAACCTGTCTATAAGACAAAAACATAATATATATGACTTTATTTTATGATGTCAATTATTTTGCTTTCGAACAAAGAAATTTGTTTGCGCATATACAATAATACTACTTCAAGCTAAATACTATAAAGCTCAGTTAACACTTCATAAAAGGTATAAACATTCTTTGTTTCATTAAAGAGGAAGAATGTATTTGTAAAATTTCAGTGAATGAAATTGAAGTAAATTCAACTTTTCGCCTGACGAATACTGTGAAACTATTCGATCACATTTAGACTATAGTTCTTATATATTCTTTGTTTCGTTTATTTGATACCAATGATAATGACGTAATCAATCATGCTAACAACTTACGTAAGAACATAGAATTTCGTATGTCGTTGTGTTAAAATGATTTTCCTTGTATAACCAAATATTTTTGTGAAATTATTTGTGTTATCTAGTTTTACTTGGTGTTCAAATAACCGTCGACCAATCCTGATTCTGTCATGCAATCAGTTTTCTTCATAAATTTAGTCAAGGCAAGAACGATAGTATTTGAAGAATACGGTTCATGGTTCTTATATATCTGACAATATTGATTTAATTTGTTGTATAATTCCTGACTGTTTTGATAGAATATTGCTTTCAGTTTGTATAGTTTATAAATAATTCTGCGTGTTGGCTGAAATAAAGGCCAAAGTAACGTTTCATAACATAAATAAACTTCCTGATAGTGAATTGTTATATTTTCTCAAAAAGTAAGTGTCATAACTCTGTTACTCTTGGAGAATATTTAGTGATAGAATCGATAATTAGAGTATCTTTCGTTAAAAAATGGAAGTTAGTTACATTATTTGATTATTCAAACCATACTGTGTTTTACGACATAGACATTCATATTTCTGTGGACATAAATTTTCAGTTAAATAGTACATCCACTCCAGTCAAATACAAGTTACTGTATTTAACTTGGAAATACGTGTTTTATCAGAGTTAGGGATGCTTCTGAGCTTTTCTGAAGAGAGTTGGCATAAAGAACTTATAATTTATGGATCTGTTGTTACAAACTTAGCTCTAAAACTACTGTTCTACAACTCCAAACTTATAGCTTCCAGTCGGTCGTCTTTATTCATTCATATTGTTAATTTCATTACTGTTAGTATATTGTTTAAAATCAATATTTCTTTCTTTTCCTTTTGTTTAGATATTTCGAATACTATATATTCTCTTCTATTGGGAGTTAACCCGGAAATCGAAACTGACTGGGCCACTCTAACATCATGTTTTAATGGCTTAACACTAGCTAGTTTGGTTCCAAATCAATCAACCACGAAACGACTTCGTGCTCGTTCTCATTCTGGTGAATCATTTAAACCCTCATCTTCATCAACACTGTCAGGTTCTACACATTCATCCAATAAACAATTTGATGTTGGTACCATTTGTTCACCACCTGGCTTATCGCAACAATGCAACAATTTACCATTTGGTTGGCAGTCTTTAATGATTACTAACTCTGCTTTTCTGAATTCTTCCCTATCGAATTCAACAAGTTTATCTCTCAATCAAAGAAGTCCAGATGATGTACATTCAATAGTTTATTTGATTAGGTAGATTAAAAGAAATTTTCTTAGATGTTATTAGTGATTAGTTTCAGTTCTTTTGATTATAATACTTGCTAACGTTATTTTATCATGTTTGCCGTTTTGGTTTGGCCGCCCCTAACTTCCATCTACCTCCAACACTTGTAAGCGTTGCGTGCCGGATATCTCGCCTCCGCCATAGGTGACGTAAGTTGGTAAAAGCCAAACGAGCTTTTCGAATCTATGCTGAGATTTCGTCAGACACCAACACATTAGGGCTGATCAGACTTCCAAGATAAGTGAAGTTGTCGATGCACTCGACAACTTCACTCCCTATCCTTAGTTTAGGTATGACATAGGTCAGTCCTGGAGCAACAACTTGCATTTAGAAGAGGAGAAACGCATTTCAAACATCCTGGGTTTATTGCTCAGGGCTACCAAAACACTGCATTTTATAAGCGTCTTCACTAAACAGGACTATTTCATATGCGTATTCTAAGTCAATAAGTGAACCTCCCGGTAGAAGATCGGTGCCCGAAAATTCTGTTAACGAGAACGTTATTTGCAGCAGCAGGTTTATGATGAAATCGAACAAAAATGGAGATAGTGAATAGCCTTGTTGGTCACCACTTGAGGTTGCAAAATCGCTATAACATCTGATTTGACTGGTAGTGTTCGAGTAAAGAGCCCTCGCAAGGTTAATGTACTTCTGAAGTACACCTTTCAATGACAGATACTGCCAAAGAACTCTATTACCATTTATCCGTTCAAGCATGAATAAGTAGATCATGATAATTAATTCCGAACAATCTGTGAACAGTACCTTCCTGTTTTAACCTAAAAATAACTACACAAATGAGGATAAACAAAAGAAACTATAAAAATAATAAAATGGAAGATGTAGAATAATTCAGCGGTCAATTTTTTGCGTGAACTAAAATAATTAATTTATTTAGTCATAAGTAACTCATTCATTAACCACTTGGGTATGAACCAGTCTCGAGTTATGAGGAGTTATCATACTACACGTTTGTCCAAAATGAAACGGGGAAAGCGAAGTTCAAACTTGGGACTGTAAGTCGAACGCTTTAACTACGAATCTACCACTTCATCTTTTAACTCACACACCGTCTGGCATTGTTCATCGCAGTCAGTATACGTTATGAGGCATAGGTAATATACGTTATAAAAATTCTGTATATATACTTCAAATTTATTCATAATACAAGTTTGTCCTATATATGTTAATAAGATAGTGAAAAGTGAAACAAAAATTTTTTACTTTTTACTGTGAAATAAATCATCTCTCAAGTAGATTGTTAATAATAATGATGATTAAAACTTTTGTTGTATGTTCAGACTGAGGTAACCGAATTGTTGTTGGGTAAGGAAATCCAATCCTAGGTTAAATGGAAAAAAGGTCACTGATCATATGACTGAATAGTTTGCTCACAAAAGTAATGCTCATTTACGCATAACATAATTAACAAAACATAATGGCTTGTTGTTACTTATTCAAAGAACAACAATCAATCAATGAAAAATAAAAATAAAATTTGTTTAATATTCAGGATAGCTGTACTTGTAATTACCATTTATCAATAAGACTCTGTTTGATTATCATTAATAATTTTCCTAACAATTTGCAAATTTCCATTCCAAAAACTCGATGTAGTCAAGCCTAACAATAAGCTATGCTTCATTTATAAAGCACATTAGTTTATCAGACTGGAAACTTAAAGTGGTTGTGATATGTAGTATCTTTTCTGATTGAGCCATTGACAGCAGTTTATCTAGTCAGTTACATGTGTAGAACATAAACTTTTTGTTTACAGTTTATCAAATTCTTGAATTTCCCAGTTGTATACTAAGTAATCAATCTGAATAGTGAATACCTTATGATTCTGTTTAATAACCATAATCATTAATTGGAAACGTTCGATGACATTGCCGTAATGATGCAGATACATTCACGTTTTTTCTTTATAGATATTAAGTTGTTGTATTCCTTCCTATGCACCTATTCATTTCGTCTTCTGAAACTATACTATCAACGTTTAATCTTTCTGATTATTATCACTGTTACATTATTCCGATTCCTTTGCTATTCATCTCGTTAATTTTATCTCGTTCTAATGTGTTGTATGGCAACATGAGCTAACCCAGATACGTGTCAGACTCCATGTTAATCATGGATAACTGACTATTCTGTGCTTTACAATTGTTAGTGCTAATTTACTGCACTCAAATCTTCTTGTTACTTTTTTCAATATCTTTTCTTGTGGAGTGTGATAATTCGATTTACAACCTACATTACTTATTTGGTTTCTCTGTTTGTTTTTTTCACGGAAGCTTATTAGACATCTATATAATGTTTTATATTTTCAGCGAACTTCTCCCACCAATTTCTAACCAATTCAAATTCTCGACAATATATTCGAATGCATCACAAAAATCCAATGATTCAACAGTTTCCAATGTGCATTTTGGGTCAGGAGTCAATTTGAACTCAATGTTTTCTACTAGTGATTCTGGTTTATGTACTCCAGAACAATTGACTACAGGAACAGTTTTTTTCGCTGACACAAATAATCTTCAGGTTAGTGTGGTGTCATGTTTTAGTTCAGGTTTTTCTTCTATTTCCATGTAATTATTATTGTATTGTTTTTTTTTAAAAATCTAACTCATTGCCTTACCATTATTATTTAGCTATTTTCCTTTCAGGAGTGGGAGTCGGCAGGACACCCTGAACCTAGACTTTTCACTAGTTGATGTTCATCAGCTTGGCGTTGAAAAAATTGTTGCCTATCTTTAATATAAATCCCTGTTACCCAGTTTCCTAGTTCAATGCGCTACCATTACATTATTTAACCCGTGAATAGTACACATTATATCGAGTCATTTGAACTAGTGATCACATCGATAAAATAGGATGAGCTCTAAGGGACTAGGCGAGCATGATATTGGTTACTCCCCAGTGACGAATCAATGAAGGATGCTAATTAATTTCAGGTTACTGTTTTATTTATCCTCAGCTAGCACAGGTTTAGAAATGCATTCGTTCTTTATCTTACAATAGCTTATCAGGGACTTGTATCTTTTCGATACCGCTATAGTCTAAGTAGATGAAAGTTCATTCATAGTTAACTGCTGATTCGTTAGTCCACTTTCCAGTCAATGGCTTTCCAATGTATTTCACTATTTCATAGTATATCCTGTAATTCAATTTTTTTCTTTTAATAATTCTATCAATTAGATATTGCTATCGTTAGTCAAAATTAGTCATGGGAATATTTTATTTTGATTATACACAAAGCATTTCAGTGTGTCATAAACACGAAGAATACAAAAAAAACAATATTAATTCCAATTTAGGGGATACGCATCAAAGTTATTTTTGTACTGCCATCATTTTTTGGAAAATATTGTAATTGAAATGTTCATCTTCCGTTGAACATAATTATTTACTAATCCATTGTAGGTTCAATCCTCAAAAATCAAAAGCTCCGGAAGTTCATCTTCTGTCTCTTCTAATTCATCCAGTACTTTGTTACAAGGTTCATTCGATTCCATCAATCTATCACAGTCTAGTAATTCCCAAACACATTTAACAGATCCACGCTCGCTTCTGTTATATGATGAATGTAAAGAGCTTCATAATCGCTTACTTGCTTTAATTTCCAATAAAGAAGAATCTAAAACAACACATAGTGCTCATACTAGACGACGTTCCATTCAACAAAAACATGGAGAAGATATTAGTATTGGTAAACAAACTGTTCCTGAAAAGCACGTTTCTGGAACACAGCGTTCACATGGAAGTATTGAAAGCCGTTTAGATTTGACAACCACTGAAGCTTTACAAATGGTGCAAATATTACTCCCACTCTTATTTGAAATATTCACTGAAACTACCAAGACACAAACACGTTTGTTGTGTTTAGAAGCGATACAGCGGTGAGTTGGAGTTTTGCACACTGACACTTGCATATTTAATTAATGATACATATGCACAGTAACCACTTTTAAGTCGAAGAAAAATTCACTTCATCACTGTTAGTATATTGCGCATTATTCATGCAATAAGTGAATTCCTTAGGTTGTTTAATCGCTATCTTGATCTAACGATTTACTGTGACCGTTGTGGTAACCAAATTGACTTGTAAGTTTCCATTTTTATTGTTTCTGGATCGATGATACCAAGAACAATTATTACCACGGTTCAAATTGGGTCATAGTAGCTAGAATTCAAGAATATAATCTTAACTGTCGCCAACCATTCATATTCCATTTCTGGCTACCAGTATTCACAATTTTATTCCCATTGTTGTTTTCTTTTTTTAATACGTAGCTCTCTCCACCTTGCCAATAACGTCCTACTTTACTTGTAATGAGGTTGTTGTTTGAGTAATGAACAAATATCTCCATTGTCTATTACTTCCAATAAGGATAAGTGTAAACAGCCATAAGCACGTATGTTCATCTAAGCGACTTAAGATATCTACCATTATTATATAACTAGACAAGGAATTGATTGCGCTATCTAAAACACGTGTGTTCACTGTTAAAAGTTTGCATTAAAAAAACTTAAATGCCAGTAGATCTCTTAAACTTTTTCGACTAGTAAATTCTTGCAGAGGTATCTCAAGCGGTATACAAAAAAAGAGAAACAACTGAAGACAATTTAATTTCAATCATAGTGAAGTCATTAGTGCGTACCCAGTTTCAAAATATGGGGAACACAGTGGTTCTTACAAGTAGGCTTCAGCAAATTTAAAACATTAAACCATCTATACTTTTAGTACGATAACTGAGTAAAGTTTATTTATATAATAAATGTCCTCAAATCAATATTATTGTATTACTTTCACCATTCATAATGAGTATAACTATTTTACTGTTCCGTAGAATGATATTTTATTCAAGTCCATTATTACTGGCCAAAGTAATTCATCCAAGATTAGTTTGCAGTAATATTGCGGGTATGCTCAATAGTCCTGAGAAACGTGTTATCCTGATGGCTTTGCAAATTTCTGTCATGTTACTTGGTCGAATCCCGTTTGTATTTGCTACACATTTTCGAAAAGAAGGTATTATTCATCGAGTTGAACAATTAATTTTACGTCTAACCAATGGTAGTGCTTCAGGTATCACTTTACAAAATGATTTATTCTCAAGCAAATATGTGCCAAAATTATCTTGTGTTGGTTCCAATACCGTAACATGCATATCAAGCAACAACTGTGCAAGTAATCAACATATAAATCACCAACCATTTCAACCTAATGATGACATCAAATCGAAACGTGAATCAACCGTTACTCATGGACATCATGAAGAGGTGATTATGTATTTTTATTATCGATGATATATTGTTCGGTTGAATATGTCATGCTGAACTTGACATAATTGGAATGTAATTAGTCATTAACTTCTGATACTTTATTACACGTATGGGAGAAAAATTCATGAGCGGAATAAATGAGTTCTAATATTATACATCCTAAACTCTAACATTTTCAAATGTGTTTTATAATTGATTATTTGATTTGCTTGTCATATACGTAGTTTCTAATTCGAATAAAATTGCGTTCCATGCAAGCGGATTTATTGATTTGTAGAATATGCTAGTGACTTATCATGAATCTTACAACTTAATCAAAATATATATTAAAGATTACAGATCAAAAGTTTTATTATTATATGCCATTGCTTTCATGTTTTCGATTGAAATTGTTTAGCCAACTTATAAATGAAACTAATAATCACTGCTTATACTTATGTTACTACAAGTTATACGACATGTATACCAAAATCATTTTGTTATGAATATTTCATTAGTGGTTAGGTAGTAGCTGCTAGCCTGTAGAATCTATAATACACGATTAGTCCTATTTGGGACTCAACTTAATGTACCTGCATTCCAGTTTTGATGTTCACACTAAAATTCAAACTTAGAAGCTTTCTCTTCAAACTCTAATACGATACCCACTGAGCTACTCAGTCCAAATAACCTTTCATTTTGTCTATTGTTTTTCGATTAAATCGATCCATACAGTTATATCTAGATCCTACCTTGTATATAACATTGGTTTCAAAATGTTTACGGTTGTTCATCTTTTTATTTTATCGAGTTAATCACGAAAGCTTTTTACTGTTAATTTGAAATCTCACAAACTGAACAATCAGAATTTCGGTATGTTTATTGAAATTGTATATTCCAGGGAAATAATTCCCTTTCACTTTATAATCTATTTTTATCTCAGTCTTATCGCTGAATAAATTTCATCGTGTTGTGGATATATTTCCTAGTTTATTGTTTGATCACTTGTAGTGGATCATTATTTTCTTCACAGGTGAGTAAACTCAGTGTTGTTTATTTCGTTTTCTCATAACTAGACTCACATGGAAAGCCGCAGTACACAAAATTGTTCTGTTGTACTCGATATGCCTTTGTCATACAATTCGTTAGTTCAAAAAAGTTTGAATCACAGTAACAATCAGCAGACAAAGCATCAAATAGAATTGCCTAATACAATGTCGAAGTCGCCTACACTTTTGTTAACTGAACGGTTAGTAATTATTGGTTTTGTTTCTATATTATTTGAATGTACTGATGCTTAAATTGCATATTTTAAAACTTCACTTTGTTATGAAAATCACTAGAAAACCAATACTTCTAATTGATAAATTCCCTTGATAATGCAATATATTTTCGAACAAAAAGGTTAAATAGAATTCACTTATCGATTATGTGTTAATAGAATAGTTAGAATAAAGATTTCATAAAATTTATAGATTCTTATTAGCTTGGTTACATGTTATATGCAGTTACACTCGACCTCAAAGTAAATCTCTGTGTATCGATTCACTAACTGTACAAATACTATCAGTACTCTTCATATATTGGGAATGTCATTTAGAATTGATTAGTACTGTAACTGAGCGTGCAAATCGGTTTCTTAAACGCTTATAATAACTTCAATCTAAATTTACAGAGCAACTTGAACACGATAGAAAAAGTGCAAGGTATGTAAGGTATGCTTTACTTCAAGGTTAGTTTATGTATAGAGAATCTAGGGTATTTATATTATTCCAGATGGTTTTGAGGTTCCGGAATGTTCTGGGGCTGTACTAAATATAGTACTGGGATAGGTTACTATCCAATTAGGAATGTGTCAAGTGATTCTTCGCTTTTTAGGTATTCCTGAGACAATTCTACTCAGTGCTGACTGGATAAAATGTTTTCCAGCGTTTTTAAGGCCAGTCTAACCTTTTTCAAGGAATACTTTGGAATCTCAACAAGAATGTCTACTGTTTTCCATTTATTGAATTTACTAAAGTTGTTTAGCAATAGTCTATAGTTAGCAGTAAATGAATTGGTTAGTCTTTGTTGCTATATGCACTTCGCAATCAGATTTTAACTATATTTTAAAATATTACTGTTTTGTTTTAATCTCTTTACTAGTTCGCTACTTCATTTTTTAATAATCTAATACAATTCATGTATTGTTTCACGTTTAGAGATCCTTTACTTCAGTCCATCTGTTCAATTTGTGAACAATTACAAGCACGTACACAGATTTTGTTAAAATCATTCGATTCACTCAATAATACTCCTACGATTGAATGTACTAATCCCAGTAATTATCATCATGGAGATAATAAAACTAGTCCATCGTCTCATCATGACGTCACAATTCATAATCTTATTGATTTAATGCCTATACTGAAATGTGTTGCTCATCAATTAAATTCTGATTCACCAAATCTATGGATACGTGGTTTAAATCAATTAATTGATTTATTAAAACCGAATGAAAAAACATTTGAGAGAATGATAGAACCACCATCACCGTTTGAACTGCAAGAAAGTGGTGTAACAAATGCTTTGTTAAATTTTCTTACATTATCAAGTAATCGGGAAATTCGTTTATGGATAATGTTTAGAGTAAGTTGTTGTGTTGACATTAATTAAATCTGTTATTTTCTTTATTCTTTGTTGCTTTGTTGATTCTTTATTATGTTTTCGTTAAAATAAACAAATCTGAAAGTTTATTGAAACGATGATAATGATGAATCATTGTCTCAGTGATAAATTCATAAAAAGAATATTGGCTGGCATACTGTTTATTCACTATTCATATTATTAAAATGACTATTATTCACAAAGTTGGTTTCTTTGTTGTGTTTTATTTTGTTAAAGATATTTACTCTGTAATCAACATTTCGACTTCAAAACTTCTGACTGTGATGCTAGTTTGAACATTAGGAAAAGTTACATGAATCTTCTGACATTTTCAGACACTTTTTACTAATAGAATCTTATAAGTAATAAGACTTCAATCTGATATTTTCATTAATTTACTCTGGCCATTAGTAATGATCAACCTTCGTAGTTTTGATTTATCCAGTTAATAATCTATTTGTACATTTATTAAATGAAATGATACTTTCAACAAATTAAGACTGATAGGAAAATTTACAATATCAATATTTAAAGCATTTATTCCATTTAATAAATCTGGGTAGTGAAAAACAAGGATAATCGGAACTATGGGATATATTAGCACCTTATATCTCGAGCAGCCTCATTACTCGTACTTGTTAAGAGATTTTCGTATGAAAAATAAAGAGCCAACTAGACAAATTAGAGGGTAAAGGAAAATAAATGTATTAAAGAGGACAATGTGGAACACACCACTCTTGATAATAGATCGATATTATTAGGGTAGGTTCAGAGTGAGAACAAGCTGTTTTTGAGCATACAAATGGGATAGATTTTCGTATAGCAAATACTTCGGTGAACCTTCGTATACTCCCTTGAGCATTCCTCTATAACACTACATAGGTAGATTTGGTATCGTTCGTATGGTCCGTCTCAGTCAAGCGTTTAGCATCGAATGATGATGTTTATCTATCTTACGTTCTTATTTGACCATTGGAATTCATTTGCTTCCGTAACCAATTTATGGTGTGTTCAATCACCTTTGCAAAACACTATTGTTTCTCCCTATGTACATATGTTTGCACATTACATGTAAGTTGGTAGATGCATTGGAATATGGTACGGCCGTTTACATGCTGTTTACGTTTTTATTAAAACACATACCTTGACTTTTCGATTATGATGAGTTGAGCTTCGCAAGGAGTCCCACTGATCGCTAATTTAAATTTTCGTTTCGAAATAAGACTATTTGAGTCATCTGTGAATGATAAGGTGTTATAGACACGTTTTTGGAGTGCCAAAAATTTAATAGGTCTCTATGAATAACCGGTCTACATTAATGTCTTAGTTAGGAGCTTAACTTCCCCCTCATTAGTATCTCCAATGCAAACGCAACTAATCCTATTGAATAAATATCTTAACAAGTACGGTGTGTGCTACTGATGTCAACAGATATAAGTAGTATGTATCACCAATCAAAAGTTAAATGCCTGGCGGCAGAAGGTTAAGAAGTTCGAAAAGAAGAAAATGAGAATAGAGAGTGATTGTTGTGGAAATGAAGGAACAATCAAGTCGTAGACAGTTGATTTAAAGTTCGCAAATGAATTATTTACTGTATAGTTCTCAGATTTTACCAAGATATTCTGTAATGTTGTATTAAAATAAATTTGGTTGTCCCCATTTTTGTTCTCCTTCCCTACACAAGTACCTTTTGTGTTCAGAATACATTATGCTATTACATGGTTCCGATAATTTTCATCTTCACGTTGCATTGTCCAAATTCATTGCTAATTAATTTATTTTCTATTCTGAAATGAAAATCTAACATCACAAAATATTTGCATATCTGAAATTAGTTTGTATTGGTTTTGTGAATTGTACATTCTACGCTGAAAATAAACCTGATATTTTTCATTCAATTTATATATTATGGAATCGATTCAAATATACATCTACAGCATAGTCTAATGCATATAAATAAATGGATTCAATACGATTATTATTATTATTATTATTATTATTATTATTATTATTATTATTATTATTATTATTATTATTATTATTATTATAAATAGTGACTGGATGACAGGATTTAAAGCATTAATAATTTACAACTCATTTAACAAGTACATATATATTATACATGGCTACTCAAACTGAGACACATAATACATTATTAAAACATACGACCAAGTGATTGAAAGTCAAATGCATCTATCACCAAGCTATCTCTTCACTTAGTCATTAAGTGGTAATAGCTTTCTAGTCAAGAGTTAATTAACTCCTTATATCTTGCCAGTTACAGTAACCATTAGTAATAATGTTCAGTGTTTCAGACACTTGATGCCAAGTTTATTTTCATAAAGTCATTTGTTAATTCACAGCAAATATAGGAAAATATTGTTTACTGGTAGTACAAAAATAATCTATCAAATAAATGCAGACTATTCAAATAGCATTAATTGTAACACATCAACTTTATGATTAATACTAACTAATTAAAACAAAGCGCTCTTTGAGACTTTTCTATATTCCACTCAGTATTAATCAGTTAATAAATGAACTTTATTTGCCCGAATAAAATAATTATTCACCATCCATCTTTTATTAATTCATGCTTAGATGTTCCTTGGCCGGCGAGCTACCACACCTATTCGATTCAGTCCAACATTAAATTTAGAAAATATAAATGGACGTAAATGGAATGGTTATAAAAATTGGTTTAATTTTCTGTCAATTATACCAGATTTGTTTTTGTCCGATCATAGTAAATTAAGTCAGTTAAGCGTGATTGAATGTCATTTGAACTCAGAATTGAAGCATGATGATAACTCGTCTCGTGGGATCGAAGCTTTCGGAGCCTTAATAGAATGCCTTTTGGCTTACTTACATAGACATGAACATTTTCAAGTTAATACTATTCCATCACTGCTACCTCCAGCTGATAAGTGGCTCTCAATGTTTGGAAGAGATCTCTTTAAAAATGTTAGTAATCCCGATATTATGGATGGTTTTGGAGTACATCATGACAACACTTTGTCATCACCCTCACCTTCTAGTAGTGCTCAAAAGTTATCGTCATCACGACAACATAATACTCCGAAAGCTGTTGGAATTAACAATTCTGGTCGGTCATCTAATAAAGTTCCTACTCAAAGAGTGTGTAGTATGAAAACATCTGTTAAAGCATCCCATCCTCTTCCCAATAATTATAGCAATAATAGAGTAGATCCATCAAATTCCGGTTGGCATTCAGCAAGTACAGATTCGAAATTTGTAACTCATCATGCTTTTGGCCCATCCTCCCGTTCTGTTCAAGTAAATGCTCCTACTCCAGGGATACTGCGTATTGAACTTCATCGTATATATGAAACAGATGGTACAATAAACGAAAGTAATTCACCAGTGAGTCATCCAACTAGTCCACCAATTACCGGGACAAACTCTAAGAGCGGTCGCAAATCTTCTTTATCCTCAACATCATCTGGGCATTCAGCAAATACTTCGTTCTCGTTAACAACTGAGACATGTTCCTCTTTACCACATTTTCTACCATTGCGTATTACTGCTCTGGCCACAATTCAGGTAAGTCTTTACCATTCCATAATACCATTAATTATCTGGACATATTTTTCTATTTTGTTATATTATTGTCATTATGTGTGTCTTCTTTGTTGTGTCAATTCAAGCAATCGACTGTCTGACCAAATATACGTACATAATTACATACTTATAGAAATGTTTAAAAATTTATCTATCAAAAAGAATACTTAGTATCAAGTCGATTATTGGAAATACTCGAATTCATTAATTTGTACTCTTACTTAATCATGTTAACTCAATTTGAATTTGTATCATCAATTTTTTTTCTCTAGAATGTTGAGCGATTGCTCTTACAACGTAACTATGTGAACAGTGTTCTTCAAGAGAATGGTTTTTCGCAACAAGCTGATTATAATTTGACAGGTTTTCAAGAAACATTTATTGACCATATTGCAGATGATCTTTGTACTTCACCACAATCACAACTAGTTGATGAAGTGACAGATAATGACGATGAAGATATGGATTCTCATACTCATTCATTATTACGAGATTTGGAATCAGTCGAAGGACCCTTCAAACATCATGCAGATATTCAACACTCAGACACATATTTACGAACGGTTGTTGCTGTGAACACAAGTAATATAAAGGCTGTGACACCCGAACGTCGACAAAGAAATCTGTCCAGTCGAATTCCCAAACCATCTGTTTTACTTCCTAGCGAGTCATCAGGTGTGACTTCTTCTGTTCATATACAACCAGCCGTCAATAGAAGTCCAAGACATCTAAAATCAGACGTTTATGCTAAATACCTTTCACTGTTATCTCTTGTCTCTTCTGATAACCCTGCCCATGAACGCTCTACACTTAACCAATCAATCGTTACAAATCCCAATGTACATTTACCATCCCCAGTTTGTTGTACACAAACACCAATTTCGTCGAAAACATCTGTTTCCACTTCTAGTTCACTTCAAAGAGGATTACGTAGCTTATTACAACGTAGTTCAGAAATTCTACCTTTGATGACTCGAAGTGGAATTGAAAAACCGAGTGTATCTAACTTGCACTCAGTTGAAAATCCTAATACCTTTGTTGTCAAGAAAACTGATTGTCGTAATGTCCGAAGGCGTTCTACTACTAACGTCTCGATATCCGATATACTTAGTTCAACATCTACTTCACTGGCTGTTCCTGAACGAGTAATTACTCCGTTTTCGCACTTTTTACGTTCTGTTACAAACCCACTGGCATCTGATGATAATTCGAGTATCGATACTTCTGTAATCTCTAGTAGACGTAAATCCAAGAAAACGACTGTCCAAAAGGAATCTGATGTTACTATCGTTACCACAAACTCTGAAACTTCAGTGTATGTTTCTAGGCCTGTTTCTTCAGTTCCTACTCAGCTTACAAGTAGATACAGGAGATTAAAAGGTGGATCTCTTTTTACAACTCTTGGCGTCCTAGCTAATAGTTCAGCTACTACAACAACTACAACATCAGTTCGTAAAGGACCAATTCGTCGAGGTCGAAGTGGTGGAATTTATAGCTCCCATGTGCCTCAAACGCGCTCCTTTAAAAATGCTGTATCACCTTCGTTGTCGTCTACATCAAATGCTTCATCGCCAATTGGAAGTGAAGATAGTTTTATCTATCATGGTAAATTACGACCTACAATTACATTCTATATCGGCGGTCACCGTTTGCCTTCAGACATTCCATTATATGAAGCAGTTCGTAAATTTAACCCGGAAATCTTATCTTATTCTTCTGCTGTTAATTCAGTACTAAATAATTGTGGCTCTCACAATCAAACGCTTGATATTTCTGAGCAGTTATCTTTAACACAGACAGAGAAAGAAAATTTAGTGAGTCATTTTTAAAAATAATTAGTAATTGATATGTTATGTTACATACTTATATTTAATTAACGGGAAGGTCACTCAATTCAGATGTTTGCATTTAGATCTTATATATTTTTGATAGATATACTGATGCTATTTTGCCTTTCTTGCTTAAGTATTTTGAGAGGTTTTACCTTCCTTTAGTAGATACTTAAAAGTTGTGTAACTGTTTTACTATAGTAATTTTAGTTCCCAGTTAGCCATCATTATTATGCCTCAGATTTCATATTTTATTTTGGTTTTTTTAGATTGGTCATTTTATTTGGAGCCTTACTCATGTTATTCAGTATCGAGTCACTTATCAGTCTTCATCTCACGATACTAGTGGTAAACATAATAATATCTCTTCTTCGTCATCACTTCCTGGTCATTCCTTATCTCCCTCTTCAGCTTCATTATCACCTAAAGATGTCAGTGATTCCGGTGAAGCTAGTATAGCACCATCATTTCCTACTACACTAAGCCTTAGTGCAGCAATAACGTGTTTTAAACACCGACGTCCAAGTGAAACTGACACTGATCATGTAGACAGTCTTGAAAAGTGCCCAGCTCCAAGTTCAACTAATACAGTTATTGATTCATTATCCCCAATACAAAAACATATCCCTCCATATGGTCAAACATTTCAGTTGGCTCAAAATCCATTATTTGACTTCCTAGTTAATGATTTACCTGAAGGCTTCTTAACTGACATTCGATGTGATTGCGGCTCTTTGAATCGACAACCAAATTGTCTGTTGAATGCGGAAATGGTGAATTTAAATTCTTCAAAAAACCCTTTATCAACAACCCTTTCTCTCTTGCGTGTATTGTATAACATCAATCGTTTATGGTATACAGTTCATAATGCTTTGGATCCTTTCCCAATTTATTCTTCCGTAAGTCTTTGCCAGTATTAACTTTATACAACCATTCGCTAAAAAAAATTTGTTTTTCTACAATTATCAGCTTGTATTAAATAATTAACTAGTTATTATTGATAAAAATTTCACAACACAAATTTTGTATTTTGTTAAAGTAGTGAAAACATAGACAGTGGGAAACAAACGAATAGATCAAACATATTTCATTTCGTTATGTTTTATATATTCTGAACTATAGTAACTGTCTTGGGTGAGATTTAAGATTTTTTATAAACTAGGGGAATGTTTCAATCTGATCATTCTTCTGTATATAGACTATTCATTATGATATATTTTAACTTATCGGCAATAATCCATGCCTTGTTCACTAAAGTAATGCTTATAATTTCAACTCCACACTAACCTCGTATATCGAACTCGAACTTTCATCTTGTTTTTTTTATTTCATACGACTATTGTTTAATTGCATCGGTGGTAAAATGAGTATATTTTTCTTGTTTTCGTTACATTCAATCGCTTCGTTCCACAGCTGTGTGCTAAGCAAAAGACAATCTTGCTTTATCTATTCAACTTCTGATCAATATCTATGTATGTAGCTATAGTAGCAGATGGTTTAAAATGACAAAAGACTATGGAAACCTAAAAATTTATTTAAAAGTTTCTTGGAAGACATGATAAGTTTCTATTTTCCTAATGATGAGATTTTCAGTTAGTCAAAGAAATATACGTTACTAATTTAGGAAATGATAATTAATTTTTTTCAATTTAATTTTTTGTACCTTGCGAAATTGACAGTTTTCTCGAAAGCAAAAGAAAATTGCTTTGTAATTCCATGCACTTTGTGTGTTCTAATTTTGTGAATGGTATCGAACCGTACTAATGATCTGTAAATCCGAGTACGTCGCTTTTACTGTACACTACTCTCAGTTGCACTGTGTAATTGTGTTCATTCAAAGTTTGAACAGTTAATGTTAAACGTTAAGTGCAATATGATTAAAAATAATAATAAATTTATATATTTATACTCCACTTGTAGGATATCGAAAAGTTCTCTGCCTGTCATTCAGAACGTAATAACCCAAAATACTAATGTATGAATTTCTCTCTCCATACATATTGCATGCGATGCAATACAACAGAATTTCTTGTAATCACCTGACTTCAATGTCTTAAAACTATGCTCTCCCGATTTTTTTTCTAGCCTTATTTGCTTTTTTTTAGAATATACAATGTATGCTGTTTGATTACTTTTTTCACTTATAATTGAATTAAATGAAAGACCAATTAAATGCTTATGAATCTACCTACATTAAATTTCATAAGAATTTAGAAGACACCGTGTTCCCTAACTTAACATTAAGGTGATACTACTGTCACTACATTCTTTGCGTCTTCTAAATTACAGTCAGTTGGACTATAAATCTGTTACTCGACTTTATATCAAAAGTGTTCTAGTTATGTACGAAATGGACTTATCAACTGTATTGCCTTTTTGTCGTGTGTTTGGCTTAAGTAATAACGTCAATTAGAAATTTTGTCATTAAGGTCTTTGAAAATATAGAGATTTGCTTGGCCTATCAGTTACGTGGTAAATGCCTTGGTGGAAAACGTCCACAAAACCACCAACTTGTAAAGGGAAGTTGTTCAACTGTCCTGTTAAGACAAGTTGGGTTTTTTCATTTAAACTGCTGTCTTTACTTGCATTATTAATAACTAAATGTTGAAAGCGTTTCTAATGTTGACAGTTTTATATTAGATTATGTAAGTGAATAATGATAGTTGTGTAATTATAACTAACTCATTTTTATTTTGCATTATTGTGCAGCAATCATTTCAGAGTCAAAAACTTGCTGTCAAAGCTAAACGTCAATTACAAGATGTTTTCAGTGTGTTGGCTGGCAATTTGCCCTCTTGGTTGATTCAATTGATATCAGTATGCCCATTCTTGTTTCCTTTTGATATTCGAAGGACCTTCTTCTATGCTTATAATTTTGATCGTAATCGAGCTTTACTCAGATTTCAGGTAGAGTTAGTTGGATTATTTAATATATTCAGGAATTTATGTTTTATTATCTGGAAAAACTCCACATACACAACACTGTAATGTGTTGCGTTAAGTTTTCTGTTCTTTGTTGTATAAATTTTCACTTGTTTAAAAATTAAAAGCAACTGATAACAGTATTACTGTAAACCATAATAATAATAATAATACGTACTACCTACCACGAATAAATCCAAATTATCAGTTCGACAAACTGCTAGGGAGATATGCTTTGGATTGGATCACTTTATGTTTTTTTCAAGATTACAGAATATTTGTACACAAAATGAATGACTAATTCTAAATGGAATAAAAGAAATTGTTATGGATCTGTGTAACCACACATTTTTTAAGAATGGTATTTAGAGAAAAACTTCAGGTTCAGGCTTGTTGGTAATAGCTAGATCTCATGGAAAAAATTTACTTTACATTACCGATTCCCCTCCTGTTTACGAATTTCGAGCACATATTTTATATTTATCATGTAATCAGTAAGTGTTAGTGGGACTGTAGAATAATCACTAATAAGTCCATTTCACAGTAATTTGAAATGTGTAGTTACCATACCTAATACTATTCCTTTTTGAGTGTTATCCGTTGAACGTATAAGTCGTATACTGTATTATTTCGAAATTATTTCCATAGTGACAGAAAACAATGTATTCTTCAATCTGACCTTGATAATTGTTAATAAATAATTCTCATTGCCATTGAAGGTGTTCTGAAAAGTATGTAAGGTTACCTAATTTGTTACTAAGGTTTAAGCTAACATTCTCTTTTATTTTGATTAAATTGGTTCATCTAATATCAGAGTGTCATTATTCTTGTAACTTTTTAATCAAAACTGTAAATCAATACTCTTTCTTTGTTTATATGTATCATTTGTTGTATGAGAATTATTGTTTGAAAAGACAATAGTAATAACATGAAGTTCTAATTAATTTTGTGTATATTTGACTGGAGTTAATAATTATTTTGTATCATCAATGAATTCAATACTACTGTTGATTCTGCCACATTGATGTGTCCAAATTGGTTTTAATTTTTTTCTCTTCCAACATGGAAATTACTGGCATACCGTCTGTTAAACTAATACTTTACTTTTAAAAGATCATTCATTTTTCATTATTTGGTTATAGAGATTATTGTATTTCATTGAAATCATGAATTGATCTAAGTTCAACCACCATTGGAAACCTGGGAGCATTCAGCGGCCATTTCCTTTTAGTATGGGAATCTTCAGCAATGGGCATCTAACAGTATTAATGTCTAACCTTAATCACTCGATGGCATTGGACGACCATCTTCTATTTTATTCGGTGCGTAATTGCCTCGGTTTAACTCCGTTGGTTACGGCTTCTTACCAGAACTCCAGAAATTTCTTCTGGAAGCTAGTCACTAGTGAGCACATAATAATTGTCAATGTTGGGCTGTGGATATAATTGAATTTCATTGAAATTATGAACACCATGGGAACCTGAAAGCGCTGCTAGGACGAAACGATCGTTCAGTGCTTCGTGGTTTTGGGTGATACTCTTAGATCGGTTGATGAATTTAATAAAAACCATTCAGCTTGCTGTTTGCTGAATGTTCTGCTATTCCAATTCATTCTTTTTTGTTTATTTACACCTTTAAGTAAGGTGGTAGTAGGTAGTGCTTTATGTTTATTTGCAATTTATATATTTTCTATCCGATTGTAAGTACTTATTCAACTGTACATCGTAGTAGTATCAGTATTGAAGATAATACTTCAGTAGTAGCTGAGACATTATTCTGCATTCGTAGAGAATTACTGTAGTTACTTTCTGTGTTCATTTATATACCATTCCATCCAGCAAATTTTTAAACGTTTTTTTTTGTTTCATATATCACCTTATATTAGAACATCGGCTATACCACTAATTATAAATTGTAATTTACTTTTGTTTATTATCTAGGATTTGGCAAGTTCTTACACTTCTGATATTGATCAAAATCGTGAACAAATAGATACAAGAAGTCCTACACCACTGTTATCTCATGGTATTCATGATAATCAGCCTACATTTATTACTGGTTTACATGGTGGAGTAGGTGGTATGACTAACTTTGTCAATTCTAGTTCATCATCAAACTCTGCATCTCTGCTAGCTCAATTTAACGCATTCTCTCAGTCTTCATTTAACACACAACTATTTGACCACAGTTCTGGACTATCATCTGCGTCTTCTCAAGAACATAACAGACTAGATAATGGAAGAAATAATTTAGGAACACGTGGGAGATATCATTTACGCCTGGCCTTGTCACCAAACTTTCGCCGGCACAAAGTTACCGTTAATCGAGAAGAAAAACGTCTACTAAAACAAGCTGAAACGACATTAAATGAAATGGGTGATTCACGTGCAGTATTAGAAATTGCTTTTGAGGGTGAAGTTGGATTTGGTCTTGGTCCAACACTAGAATTTTACACATTGATAAGTCGTTTGTTGATGAAGTCTAATTTAAATCTCTGGCATGGTTGCGAATCTACTTCGGATGGATATTTGATTGCTCCAGCGCCTGGACTTTATCCTCGTCCATTTTCAAGACAAACTAAATCTTCAGTTATACGAGAGGTATTTTGTCTATTTTAATATCAAGCAATTTATTGATAATTATAAAAATATTTAACTTATCTAGTCTTCGTATACTTCAAAACGAATTTCGCTTATTCTTTTCACATTGTTTTAAAATAAACTGTCTTGTTTATAGGTTTTTATAACGATTCTCTGCTGTTCTTACTTCTCTCTTCAGTAAAAAAACACAATAAATAACCCTTCATGGAGTTTAAGTCTCTTACAACCAACAGTACCTCGTAGGGATGTTTATTTTAATGGAGTGGTGATTTATTGGTTAAAGCATTAAATTCTCAACCACTAGGTCGCAAGTTGGAGTCCCACCGCACTTTGGTTTAGTTAGCTAGGTAGTATTAATATCCCCAACATATAAATTGTGGCTCAAAGTCGAGTACGTTTTAATTCATCATGTTCACTTTCACTGTTTTTAGTCTGTTTCATCACATATTTACAGGCCTGGTAAGAACATTGGTGTGAATTACTTTACAGACTACTGTGGACTAATATCTAAAAGATGTTGAGATCTATCATTGTTCGTACGTAAGAACTTGCATTCATTAACTATTGAGTGGACTTATTTGAAGATGTCATATCAAGCGTGATAAAGGTTGGTAAGACCGCTGGATATGAATAGAAAGTCGTACTGATAATTGGCACTGGAATGATATCCAAGTATTCATGACAATAGTAGCTTACATGACTGCTTTGAAACACTGAAACTAATTACGTTCAAGATCAAACTATGTTGTTTGCGTATTGCTCTCTATTCACTCATTCTCGTATTTGTTTGAATCAAGCTTAATAGTTTATACTTTTTTGAAACATTTTATGTGCCGTATTTTGTTGTATTATTTTAGGTATCTACTATGTTTTCTTATAAATTTTTATTAGGTTTGCGGAAAATTTAATTTTCTTGGTCGTTTATTAGCCAGAGCATTGTTAGATTGGCGACGATTAGATTTGCCTTTTTCACCAGCATTTTTCAAATGGTTCTTAGCACCTACAGCAAGTGATGCCGTCCGGAAAGGTCTTATTTTACCAAGTGATATATCATTGATTGATCCAGACTTGGGTCGACACATAAGACAGTTAACAGAATTGGTTAATCGTCGTCAAACTTTATGCCATCAATTATCGAATTTAGATGCTTCAAATCTAACATCATCTGTTTCATTGGGGGGCGTTTATCTAAACAATGCAATTAACATCAAAGGTGTACATCACCATCATCATCATACACAAAAGTTGGATTCAATTAAAGCTTCTTTAACTATGTTGGACAATGAAATTGATGATTTATGTTTAAATTTCACACTTCCAGGTTACGAGGTAAGAAGAAAGTTTAGTCAGTAATTTATTTCTTGTAAAATTAATTATAATTAGTACTGAAATAAATTATTGTAGTCAGATAAAGAAAAATTTGTTTAGGTGATAATTTGATTATCGCTATACATTAGAAGCGTGAATGCCGTATTCTATTTCAATCTGATTTTGATATTTGCATCATTGAGATTTTGTTTTATATTCCATATTTCATTGACACTTCTCATTGTTTAAATCACTAGTTGTTTTTAGAAATTTGTATTTATAACTAATTCGGATCATACAAAGAAATGTATCTTCTACTAAACGGAAAGCATTTCTTTGGTATATTTCAACACAATTTCCTGTATGTTATACATCTTAATGAAATAAATCATGTGATAAACGGTTTCATAATGTTTAAACTAGACACAGAAATCCATTTGCATCGGAACACGATAACCACCGTTATTCAGTAACTGAAAAAAATCTTTCTTACTGAGTGTAATTTTCGATATTGTGACCAATCGAAAAATACTGCGAAACTGTGTTTCTTTATTTTAAAATGAAGATAGTTTTCCCCATTTCTTATAGGGTCAATAATTTATAAACAACAAAGAAACATGACTCAAATGTACATTGTTCTAAGTTGTCGTATTTCACATCACCACTATGAAAGTATTTATTACTTATTTGAACACAAATATTGGTACAAAGGGGCACCAAATACATATGCACCACATAATAACAATGAGAATGTGAAGACAGAGAATATAATGTGCGTACAAAAAAGGAGAACAATAACGAATAGAAACAAGTATATGAGAGTGAAATAATAATAATGAGAGAGGCAGTTCAGTTAGCAAAGGTACAACCACAATGAATTCTTCTAGTCAAAGAAGTTACATCCATTTTTATGAATTGACAGCATGATCACTGGCTCCTATTCTAAGCCATTTTTGATAACGTCTCAAGCCACTGTGTTGCACTATCTCTAGGACTCCAATCAGGGAATCGTGAAGGACCAACAAAAACCAGTCCTGTACAGCCTTCATATCGCAACACCATGTCATACACTGACCACCTCTCCACTTTTTCCAGGGAGTCGTGAAGCACCAACACAAGCCAGTCATTTGCAGGTTTCTTTCGTACCACGACACCACGTCATACACTGACCACCTCTCCGCTTTTCCCAACCAGTCCCAGAGTCGGCAAATAATGCACAGCGAGGAATTCTCTGGGACGACATTCGTAGAATATTTCCAAGCCATCGAAGTCCATGTTTCAAGATGGTGACACCAATTAAGTTGTCTTCGTTATGCCCGAACACACCATGTCGAACCTCTGCATTACTAACATGGTGTTGCCACTGGATGTCAGCAATCCTTCGATGACAATGCTGATCAAACACAGAGAGTCTTCTAACATCCTCAACTCGGAGAGGTTAGGTTTCACAAGCATAGAGCAAAACTGCTCTCACCGATGCGTTGTAGGTTCGACCTTTTACAGTCAGAGTAACATCACGAAGGCATTAAAGATGGCATAGGCCGCTCTGTCTTTCACTAAACGTGAATTGATCTCATCACTCACGCAGCTACCCAGATGCACTAACGTCTCGACTATGAAAGTAGATTAGCAAGCTGGAAATCAGGAACAAATTTACACTTGCCCCACTGCTATTCGTTTCAGTCATATCACGTAAAATCTTCAACCATGTAAATTACGATTATCTTATAAACTTGTGAGCCAGGAGGTTTTCATTATCTCTATATGACTAGAAGTTGGAAACAGTGTATACTATTAATCTAGTTCAATATGTCATCAGACGTGTCGTAGTCAATAGTAATTCTTTAGTTACTTCATTTCAGTATTCTTTATTAGCAGTTACAAAATTAGAAATTGAAGAGATGAGGGTAGAGATATTCTCATGTCATTTATTGAATTTGTTTCTTCCTACTACTTGTTGTCAGTCCTTAAAATGTTACATTTGGCAAATTTCATAATATTTATAATTTACATGACTTTTCAGTCTACAAAGTAATGATTAACGATAAAATTATACTACTTGTCTTTAGATGAATATAGTTTATTAGTTCCAGTCGTTTAATTCTAACTAGATGATCACGGGAATATATCTTAATTAACCTAAAAGCATGTAAATAGCCTAAATACCTGAATTGTTTCTCAGTTAGTTCTCAATTAGTCCAATTAAAATGTGTGCGACTGAACTAACTTAGTAGTTAATCTAGAGCATCATACTTGACACAACACCTAAATACTATTAATTTGTTAATGCACGATGTTTCTATGGTGTTTCAAACTATAAGAATGCAGTTATTCAATAATAAGTGGTGTTCAAAGATTTTCCAGCTAGTTAACTGAACCCTGTTTTATAATCTACAACAAGTTATAAACCAGTGGCGATTATTATTTTTTTCGCTATCCATCCATAATTTGTTACCGTTCGAGTGTTATATATTGTATCGCATTGTTTACATTTCCAGAGATTCTATTGTAGGCGAATAAGAGAGGGGGGTTAGTCTTTGTTTTCGGAGACATTACTAATGTCAAGACATTTGTTTCAGATTTTATTCTAAAGGTCAGTGAAAGTGACTTATTCATATCATATTTTTTGTCGATCAGTACCTACACAAAACCAATCTTATTTTCGTTATCTGTTATTCCTTTTCAAAGGTGGAGTTAATTAAAAATGGTGCACATACTAATGTTACAGGCTCTAATTTAAGCTGTTACCTTCGTTTAGTTGCTCATTGGTTAGTTATTGAAGGTGCAAGCCGTCAAATGGAAGCAGTTTTAAAAGGTTTCGACTCGGTTCTACCTAATGTTCGTTCACGGTTAACTACATTATTTCAACCGGATGAAATGGAGAATTTATTCTGCGGTGAATCATCACCTAGATTTAATTCTTTATCAATTAATCAAACTGGTGACATGAAATCTATGCAATTATCAGATAAAAATTATTCATCAACAGATGACGAAGGTTGGGATGTACAAAGCTTAACTCAATCATGTTGTTGTGATCATGGCTATACTCCACAATCACGTGCTATTCGTCTTCTATTTGAAATTATGTCTGAGTTCACTCCAGAACAACGAAGATTATTTGTACAGTTTGTGACTGGCAGTCCTCGTTTACCAGTTGGTGGTAAGTTTAATTCACTGATCAGTTGATTTCATTAGAGGAACTTCATTTCTAGGTCGTATGAATTCATGACGTCATAGATTTTTACTAATTAACCGATTATAGCTTACTTATAATGTTCGGATGAGGTTTATACATACGTTGACAACTACATATGTATGTACTAAACATTTTCCCACTTTTTTATGTGGCTACATTTAATTTTTATCAGTAGTGACTGTAAAATTAGACAACCAGTTGACAATTATGAATAGTCAGTATAGAGGTTTGTGGAAATTATTAGATTCTATTGAAATCACAAGCTGACCTATTTTCAACCTCTGGTAGGTCTTCGTCTAGCCTAGAGTTACCTTATGTACTGGAGGACTGTGAACTTTTCTGAAAGAGAAAACAATAGAGTAACTGAGCCAACAATTCAGTAAGCACATGGAATGCACTTACACTTGATGATCAAATCAATCGACAACCATCAGAAATAACACAAAAGTGAAATTAAGACAATCTAATAATCGAAACTAAAATCTGATAGCGTATGATTTCGAATGCGTTACACATCCACTGAAAACCTGGAAGAAACGGACAGTTGTTTTGTCCTAATACGGAACTCCTCACCAATAAAACATACATGGCCTCGCCACCAGGATCTTCGGTCTAACACATGAACTTTTAACCTCTTGTCCACTGAACCAAAATATTTTTTTTTAATTTACTCTTATTTTTGTTATTATCGAATATGAATAATAATTATCGATAAGTACATTAACAAACATTTGAGCAGAATATCATGAGTTCATTTTATTTCATTTGGTTCTTGTCATCTTACAACTTGTGATATATAAAAATCACAATTACAAAATGGGTTTACATTACTTACACCAAAGAGTTAAATTGGAAGTTGTTATGATCACACATCAGTATAGTATAGAAAAGGTTTACATAAGTTTAATAAACTGAATAAAATATTGTAAATATATACCACCCTACGTGAAAAAATATTCTATAACATTGTTAGTAACAAAAGTCCAAAGGGGTAGAAACCAGTTGTTACGTATTGAGTAAACGCTGATAATAAGTAATAATGAGTAAAGCTCTGTAAAAAAAATACAAGATTGCTAATCTAAAAAATAGTTGAAATAGAAAGACGTAATGATGTGATTAATTGAAAGAATGAGTTGAACAGAGTTTTATGATGCAACAAATGAATCATTTTCACCAAGGCGAAGAATTCTATAATAAAAATAATGCATTTTTCATATCTTAATGAGTACAACTACAAAGAAAAACAAGTATCTGAAAGCTTCCTAAACGTTGCCAAATTCTACTTCCTTCAATGGAAAAGAAGTCGTTACTTTAGATCCAACTTGGACCATCTTTTATCTGAGTTATTATATCTGACCTTATTCACACATCACATATATAAATTCACCTCTACCTTTTTACATTACAAATATTACATTTTTCGCATCCATTAACAAACACACAAATACATCATCATGTTTCATATTAGTCACCTTGACCGAAGTGACGTGACATTGATCTTGGTCAAATCTGTTTCTGATTGATTCTACCAAATATTTTTGCTTTGTTTCATTGTACTATTTAATATCGTGTTAATTTAATTTGTTTATTTATTCTCCGTTGAAGTGGCTTACACATTCAGTTACAAAACATTAGAGAATTTTTATGTTTCTACTCATTAGGATATTACCAACATATTATTCTTATTAATGATCATCTACTCAATGTTCAAATTATTTAGAATTATTGATAATATTAATTTTTTCCTTTCTCTTCCTCTTTCTTTCTTCTTCTTTCACAGGTTTTCGTGCATTAAAACCTCCATTGAAAATTGTAATGAAACGAGAGACAGGTGAAAATGCTGATCATCATTTACCTTCTGTTATGACATGTCAAAATTATTTAAAACTTCCAGATTATTCATCTAAAGCATTAATGCTTTCCAAATTATTATATGCAATCAATGAAGGACAAAATGCCTTTCATCTTTCATAATTGTTTATGCATATATGTATATGTATAAATTGTATACGAATAACAATGATTGAATATCATCATTAAGAAAATACTATTGTTATTAATAATAATAATACTGTTTGTTTGTTTTCAATAACATATTGTCTAAAACTTGTACTATTGTTATTGTAAAGTTGTTTTTTTTTTTATTGTAACTTTTTTAATCCAACTGTATCACAATAAATAGACATTTGTACACACAGTTAAAATACACTTATTTCCCTTATACTACTAAATTCTATTGCTAAAAGTCTACTTTCAATCAATTATCATTTATGACAAGAATCAATAATTTCTACTGTGATTTTTGTTAAGTGTTATTCTTTGTTTCCTCACCACCACAACCACCACCACCTCGATAGGTATACTTGCACATGTAATCGGTTTATGATACATAATACATGTATACTATATGTATATCTTTTCTGTCTGGTATATTATTTATATTTATCATATATAAAACTATTTGATTCAATAAATCAGATGAAACTAAAACAACTAACTTGATCTTCTTTTTTTTTCCATTTGAATTAATTTTTGTTAAGTAAAAAAACTTTCATTCATTCATTCTGTTACATTTCAATTTGTCTATTCTTTCTTTTATTTTTACTGATTATTTTGTTTGTTTGTTTGTTTGTTTTTCATTTCTACGTTTGCACCGTTTAAAACTCCTACAATTTATGTTATATTTTCTTTTGTATACATTTTTTTTCTTTCTTGAGTAATTATTAGAATTAGAACAATAAGTAGTATTGTGTATGCATAAAATAATAATAAATTTAGTGATATATACATTTCATTCTTTTCAATTTGTTCATCATATCAAATTGTTTCATTATATCTAAATTGTAAAATTTTAGTTTGATCATCTTGGTTTTTTTTTTGATAATTTTTTTTGAAAAGAAAAGAGAAATGAGGTTCATTTTAATTCATAAATGATAAAACCCTTAATCAATCTTGTATGCTTATATGTGTAATGACACATTTCCAATGGAGTTTATCACATAATATATACATATGATACAATTTTATATGTACACAGTGCATTTTCCCATTGATCATATGTTACTAGTGTAATGTGATGGATCATTTGATGGAATACCTATACATTTTTAGTAAATATATATTTATGCTTTTGCATATGTTTGTCACCGTTATTATTATTATCGCTAGTATTTTGCTTACCCTTCTTTGTTCTTTCATAGAATAAAAAGAAACATTTTATGTTTCACTGAAGGCATGCTTTCATTTTCTCTGTTAAAATCAATATTGTCACTTCATGTTACCTTTAGCGTTTTGTTTTCTACCATGTTTACATTTTGTTCTCCGTAACCCTTGACTTTTATTTAAAGTAAATAAATTATAAAGACACATTAATAAGCGTTAACGTATCCTCTTTTTCTTTTATGGTATGTAAGAACCAGTAAGATGGGTACTAATAACAATTCTTTTTAATAATCTATCTATAACTAAATTGATTGTTTAATAATAATGCATTTTCTTCACGATCCAACTTCAGTGAAATATGCGTTTGTGTGTTTATTATTATTTTTTGATGAATATATTTATTTGTTTTAAATTTGTGTATAATAACTATTGTGATGTCTAGTTTAATTGTCAATTTCAATTTGGTCTGTCCATGTGAACTTGTATAGTATTGATAAAACAGTTTGTAGTGAACACTGATTACTACATTACCGTACATCTGTCTGAACCCAACTAACATTGAAAGATATTATCCGATTTGTGACTATGAAGAATTATTAGTTAGCATAAATATAATTCAAAATACATCTTTAATCTATTTCATATTACAATAAACTAATAATCGAAGTATGTATGAATAAACTGTTGATAGATATTTTGTTCAAACCATACAATAGTATAAATCACAATTTGTGGCAAGCAAGTCTTTACTTTAGTGACCAACAGTTTGGCATTTTGGTTAAACCACTTTCTATCGCCGATGTAATTATATGTTATACCGGTACTCAAAACTATACTGGTTAATATTAATTTCTTTTGTACAAAAGACTAATCATTTATGATCGTTTGCTCAAAAGATAATATTCTGTCGTATGGTAATACTTTAGTTTGTCTCAGTGTAATTTATGCAAGTAATAATTATAAATTATGTTCTATAGTGTTAAGTGTTCACAAAAAACTGGGAGGAAGCCATGTACCCAGGTTTCGCGCTAGCTGCTACTCGTCAGGGAAGTTTATCTGTAGTATTCAAGGGACTGAACCTCACCATGGGATTTGAAGGACAGTTTGATCAATGGAACCCAATCACCTTAATGTAATATATACAAGCGTAACATTGGTTGCTACTTAGTGATTGATTAATCAGTCTTTGTTGCATGGTGTTTGACTTATCTAATAGTTTGCCTTTAGTTACTTATTTAATTTCAACAAGAATAGAGTAATTTGTTTTTGATTAAATAAATAAATAAATATATATAGATCTAGTATATTTCATTCATCGATATCTTGTCATCTTACGCCATTTTCAAAACATCCAATTATTTTTTATAAAGCCGGACAAACTTAGACTTCTAGGCGGTTTTAATGGAGACTAATTAAAAGAAAGTCCTTCAAACAACGCCTGTATTAGACTTCAACTTATCATTGAGCCTGTGTTCATCGTTGTCACGAGCCGGCTCTAGCTAAGCAAACTAAAACATTAACTCATGAGTTAATTCATCACACTACTCTTCAACCCAACTTGTACTTTACTACCGAACAACCACTGAGTGAAGTATAATAGATTTCTCAGAATCCTAATCCTTATGAAATTATATTGAAATATATATAACAGAAATTATATCAAACTTATGGTAAATTCTTTTAACATGAAACAGTAAAATAAAAATCCATAATTGGTCACAAACAAAAACCAAGTGAAACTTTGGAGAAATCATTTAAAGTCTATTTTCGTAGATAGCATGAGGTTGTAATGTTTTCTATAATCGACTGTGTTTGCTCTCTGATGAGAATGCCATTGGTGAAATTTAAATGATCACTCATATTTATTCAGTATATAAAAATGTGAAACACTCCAAAACTGCCAATCTAATTTTAAAATGAGCGGAATTAGGTTTGAGTTTCAACTTGAATCCACTATTAGTATCACGTGGCTAACTAAACAAAGTATGTGGAGATGATTCGGATCTAGAACAAAATAATCTGAATTCACACTGATACAATGTAAATATATCTGGGGTAAACGTTTGTTTATGTTGCTTATGACTGATTACCTTACTGTAATGAGTTGTATCAACATTAAACGTTAAAATATCTGATAGAGCATTAAAGTCAACTTTTCTAATGATATTCTCTTTAAAAAAATACCAATTAACATATAAATATACATGGTAATAAAGATTTTAATTGTTTCTTTTAGATTACTGAATTTTACCATGTGATCATTTACCATCATTAATGTATTTATTAGAGTAAACGAATGTTCTATTTGTCATAATACTCTGTACATCTTAATCTCATGGTAAATACAAAAAAAGAGAACAAGATTTTCATAATGACATGAACTCATAGTGTCTTCTCACCTGTAAACGGCCCAAATTTACATCAGTAATATTATTATAAAAAATATTTATTACGTAACATAAAATCAATGAAGTTTAGATCGAAACGACACAAAAAAAGAACAAGAAGAGGAAACATTATATTTAACATAGTGATTAAAATTGATCAGTATTCATACTTTAAAGATGAAATCATTAAAAAGGATAGAAGGTTGAAGTAAATGATAATAAGGAAACAATTAATAAAAATAGTGGTAATCAATGAGCATAGTAGACACAAAATCTGGGTTTTTTTAATATGTATTATCACCCACTAAGGAAAATTTATTCACACCTTTTCCTTTGTTGTCCTCAAATCTGTAGTGTTATTTTTTATCCCAGTATGAACTCCATATATTACCCAGGCTAACCCCGTCTGTGTGACGGCTGTAATAAAAAGCCAAATACAGGTTGCATTGGAGGGATTTGTTTCAAGCATTCGCTTATCCAGACACAGGAAGCGGAACGGAGAAGTCGAGAGAGCTAACATGATCTGATCAAGCGTGACGCGATATTTATAGTTAGACTAATAAGTAACAGGCACGTAATGAATAGGGTGAGCAATTAACACATATACGCTAATATAAAAGGAGTCAAGGTTAATAAGCGAATAAGTGACAAGATTAAAATGTGACGTGAAAAGAATGAATGAATAGGTCTATCTGGAAGCAAAAATAATCCATGTGGACTTGAAATAGGACTAGACATAACACTATAATATCGATAGTTCTAAAAAAACGTACTGGTTATTATTGTTCTAATATTGATATGAAATCTCATAATTTATATGATAACGAACATTTTGAGAACAATCAGCTCGAGTAGTCACGCTACTACTAATTCAGATTCATGCTGTTTCCAATAACGTTCTCGTCGCTGGATGAGCTCAGTAGCATAGTAAGAAAATTCGAGTGGACGACATTTCCCCAGTTCCATCGGAATCGGAAACCATACTTTCAGCTTGTATACTGAAGAATTGCTTGTAAAGCTCCCAGAACAAATCGAAATCGCTCCCAAAGAAGGATATAAGTGTAGTAATTGTATAAGGCTGTTTAACATAATGTTTCTTCCAAATGCAGCTATTTAGCGTTTATATTTTCCAAAACGACAGCAGGATATCGGACCTCAATTTCTCGAGACTTATCACAATAGAAGCCAACGGGATCGGAGTTCTGATTCTTCAGGTCTCTACTAATTTCAGGCACTGCTGCAATTAATATGGTGCATTATGTATACTCCTTATTTTGAAAACATCTGTATCGACAGGATGTGTTCAATTTTAGTCATATAACCCTTTCAGGCAAATCTCCTGGATAAATCATATCTTTATGTAAATAATTAAGGTGAAGGGAATCATGATTAGCCCGGAGATCATATAATTTCTCTCGGAGGATGCCGTAAATATCGGTCGGATAAAGGTAATGGTTTCAACATTATTTATTCACAACGATGGATTTAAGGGACTTCATGAATCGTCATCTTGATGTTTTCTGTTTAGACAGATCCCTTAAAACAAACAACGAATACTTGTTTCTTCATCAAATCGTTGCATTGACATGAATTTCACGGCAACACAAATTTGTTTTCCCTTCCCCAGTCAAGAAACTCCTGAAATGATTAGTCAGTACCTGAATTTCTTCAAACGGTCAACAGGTGACAGGAATTTTGCAGCGGTTGTAACAAGAGGATGTTATTTCGATAAATTTGGAATAAAAAAATGACATGGACAACAACTTAGACGAAGATGCCCAAGTCTAGGGACTATGCAACGTGTGTCAACAGACCAGTTATGGAGAATGACATCCATCTAAAATGATAAACTTCTATATCAGTGCTAACTAATAGTTTTTGTGAAGTCAGTACATCGAATATGTCCCAGAGACGCATGCGGATTGTTCAAAATCAGATATTTAGACTTTTAATTGTATCGGAATAAATGTTCCCCATTGTAACATCTGCAATTGCAAAAATATATTATTTATCGCTCTTATTTAATTTACTGAGTTCTGTCTGCAAACAGAGCGAGGATGGCAAATAGATAGCGTTAGTTGAAAAAATTAAACTGTAAGTAATTTAATGAGCCTGTTTATTGATTCGTCTAGTAATGATAAAAGGTACTAAAGGGTTCATATTTTCAACAGTTTATAAATGTGTATCGTAATGTGTTTTAGTACTTGAGCGGATAATTTGACATATTTAAGATTAATCTATGTCAGGTCGTTATTAAAGTCAAGGAATTTTAATGACGGAAGTGGTGCATTGTGTTGCTAAAGAAGAAGAACGAAAGGAATGTAAGAGTAGGGGACTGAACACAATGTTTTCGTACGCAAAGGTTAGGCTTGAGCTTGTGGGTAGTATAAGCATATTTAAAAATTATACCTTTCTGATTGTCTCTGGTTAAATAGAAATGATTAATCGAAAAGCAAATTGGGGCACTAATTCTGTTCATTAACAGCTGTTATTCACTCGCATTTATTACATAATTTATTATTCCCAACCGGAAAAGATAATATTTATGGAAACGCTTACATTCTTTTAGATCCCGTTTGGTTCTTCAACATTCAGGTCGCCGATTAGTGTTAAAGTATTTGCTGTTCATATATATATCTGAGTGAATTAGGTTTACTAACCCAACAGTCATTGAGTTATCATTACTAGCCGGTATTATTGTTGTTGCCAGAAAAATGATACGATGTTACATTGATTTATAAATGATTTCTGAACATTACGCTCAACTTTCAACATAAAATTTAATGGTTGACTTGTTAAGGTCATCTTATTGACGTGTAATTTCAGTTCACCATTAATAAATAGCATATACGATGACAAAATGACAGAATGACTTCACAGCTCTACTAACATTAACTTATTAGGTTTTAAGCCGTAAAAAATCTTATTTGTTAAACACTCTCTGTCAAACAACTATACACTTCACAATAGATGATACACTATTATTCCATTAGGAAACAAACCGATCAGTTTACTGTACATTTCCTAAACCAAATATGCCAACCGATAACATTTTGATTAAATTCTCATTTATTTTCTTTAGATTATTTGAATGCTATACAGTTAGTCACATTAAATTCTATAACATAATAAGTTACATTGACCAGATGATAAAACTTTTATTTTGAACTGTTCAGTTAACATTTAAAATGTTTACATTGTGTTGAATACTGTTCAACTACATATCAACTTAGCTTTATGGTTTCTTATATTCATATGAATTTCATTGAATACAATTCTAAAATGATTGTATCTAGGTTTCTGATTTTTATTCATGACTGTCAATGATTAGTATTATTTCCTTGATATTTATAGTCACATTGTATTCACAACACTTGATATGATTCACTGAATTCACATTATTTAAGTAAATATTGAGACTGTAGTGGT